CACCGACTTTGGGGTCCCCAGAGGATGTCATCCATAAAAATAAAAAAGTGTGGCCTAATCTCGTAAAAATTGCTATTTTTATATAAGGGTTATAGCATGGAGTACATCGAAATGCGACTTGTTTATTATTATGATCTTAAATAATTATTAATATAAAACAAACGATATAATACGTTCTTAACGTTAGCCTATTTATTAGCTTAATTGATTTTTTTTCGTATTTGGAGATTAAAAACACAAAAGTTGCCTGGTTTCATATCGAGGCAATACGTTTCGTTCGTGTGCTCAGTATGGAGCTTGCAGAATTAGCCGAGGATTGCCGATTGCATTTTCCGGCAAATTCAAATAACGACGTTTGCGACAACCGACATCCTTGGGGGGGGGGAGATTTTTTTTTTTTTTTTGAATACTGACGAAAATTGGTGCGCGCGCAGGATGTCATCCATAAAAATAAAAAAGTGTGGCCTTAGATGAAAAATACGGAGGGAATGTAAGTTCTGTTGAAACTAACAAAGACGCGCAGTCAGGTGAAAATTTAGATCTTAGTTAAATGAAAGCAAAACCATTAGTTATATATGGCATCACATACATATTGCTCGACCTCTCTTTCACTACGGGTATAACAAATTCGTTAAGATTACAAAACATGTCACTTTATTTCTGTCAGGAAGATCCAGGGATCAAAATAGCTACATTTATGATTTTTTCAAAGCAATTTAATAAAAAAAATTGCAAATGTGTTCACATTGTCTTTCCTTATTCCCCTACCTCCCTCCCTACCCAAAAAATACAAGTTCAACTTTAGCTTACAAGTTAGCACACGGGACACATCCAATCTTTGATACTGACTTGACTAAATTAATCAATAAATATACATTTATCAATGCATAAATTAACATATATTTACCTATTTACTCATATGAATAAATCAATAAATAAATGTCAATCTATATATCCATAAATGAATAGTTATCATCTTATTTATTCATTTAAATCAACTCAAAATAAAGCATGGTTCACCTGTTTGTGTGTAATGTAAAAATGATATCACCTCCCGATACCAGAACATCTGCGCGGAAGAAATACATACATCTACCCTTATCAAACCTCAACACATTCAACCAATACAAAGATAAACAAAAAATGAATAATAATAATAATAATAATAATAATAATTGAACATATCACACTATTATGTAGCCATTATCTTAAGAGATGGGGAATGGGGGGCAATTCTTCGTATCAAAGCAAACCAAGTCGAGAAATATCACCAGTAAATATCTCAAATTTGCAGTAAAGAAACAATTTTAACGAAAGTTGGGAATAAAGTCTCCCAATATGACATGATGACCAGAAGACCATGAAATTGTTTCCCTTAATTTTTACCATTTTTTTGTCTAGCGACACATCCCCTACACCTTAATAACTGGATCAGTCATTTAAAACAGTCACAACAACAATTCTATATGCTTTGCTCCAAAACTAAAGTACATTATCAATAGGAATTAATTCACTTCAAGACATTGCTGTAATAATTTTATAAGAAATAAGGTTTTTATCAAGCAAGAAAGTCAAAAGGCAGTTGACAGGAAAAAAATCATCTAGTCAATTTTCACAAATATTCTTGTACAGTATTCTTGAGCAGAATCAAATCAAAGTAACCAATAATTAAATAAAAATAACAAACAAACGAAATAAATCAATTCATTTAAAATAAAATGAACATACAAAAAATAAAAATCCTACGAATTTAAGCAATTTTCCCTTCATAAACAAGGTACATCTCACCCACCGCCACTGACAAAATTATCACCTGTCAGCCCATTCAAGTTTTAAATTTATAATTGTTACCATACATGATCATGATTTAGTCCCCATTCTTTACCTCCATTTGCAGACTTAAAATTAAATAAATAAATAAATAAATAAATAAATAAATAAATAAATAAACCATACACACTCAGAACTAAAAAATGGCATATATTCATTGGATCATATTTCCGAGAACATGTTACTCGATACCTTGGTGGATAAGGAAAAAAATGTTGAAAATTTTCGGAACCAAGTAACTTTTTTTTCATAAAGATCTAAACCTACTTGTTGCCTTTGAGCATTTCCCCTTGTACAATTAAACAGCACAGGAAGAAACCCCTACGTAAAATTCTTAGGCCAAAGACTGACAGCTTCAATACTCTTACTGTTGCACAATAAAGATGCAACTTCTTTTCTTCCCTCAGTTACCACATTTTACAACACTTGTAAAAATAAAATTAAATGAAAAAAAAATTGTTTGACAGCACTAAAAAAGGCTGCTTAACTGTTAAAAGACTACACGACTATATAAGGTAACAACTTAATTCGTAAATGACCATACAATAATAGTACTATATACATGACCATATATGGTCGCAGCTTGATAAGCTGTTTGTAAAAGGTGCAAGTCTTGGTGATTTTGCTTAATCAGAGAATAATACATTTCTTTTTCTTGTCCTTTTTGTTTTTCTTGCCATTACTTTGCTTGGCATTTTCCATCTTTCTAGATCGGATTGCACGCATCAAGTCAAAGAACACCTGAAAAAAAAAAGAGAAAAAGAAGAGGGATTATGGATGATACTTATAAAACAGGTATTGCCATATGAATATACAGTTAGCATGAGAAGCAAAAGGATACATTTATCTCCATTTTTACTTCTTCACTTTATATACTATAACCCATCACTAACTTGAAAACAAATCCCATCCACAAAAAATTAATGTTTACATATTTTATTTCATTATTTTCTTATTTTTTGCCAATTAAATCCCTTCTTTGACTGCAGGGAATAATTGACCAAATAAAAAATCATGCACAATGATCCATGGATTAATTTTGAACAGCATTTCGGTTTGTATGGCTGTCACAGATGCATCATTCTGCATACTTCCCTTTTTTTAATAAGGAGAAACAAACGTGCACTCTTCTAAGAAAAAAACATATTAATATAAACTAATGCAATCCATTGTTAAACTGGAACCCAGAAAACAACAAAATAAAAGCATTATTCAAATCTGAATTTGCGTAATGTGTTGACAATTTTACAAATTTGTACCGAATAACCAGTTATGTATGTTTGCATTGAATTTGGTTAGAATCTGAATTTGCGTAATGTGTTGACAATTTTACAAATTAGTACTGAATAACCAGTTATGACTGTTTGCATTGAATTTGGTTAGAAATGGGTTCAACTTTGTTTTTTAATTTTTCATAAGTAAATCTTTGAATTCACTGTTCAGGTTGAAGAGAATATTGTTGGGAAGCCTATTCTGTTGTTTTATGAGTCCTAGTGTTGCAGGAAGGAACACACATCACAAATTCAAGCATGAAATTAAAACTGCAAAACAATCACCGCTAAGGTAAGGTTTCACTGCTCACTGAACTACATTCAAGGAGGTAATACTACTACCAGACATGAGCCAAATAAATAAATAAATAAATAAATAAATAAAATAAAATAAAATAAAATAAAATAAAATAAAATAATAAAAAACTCTTAACATTTATCATGGAACCCAACACCTAGCCATGACAAATCTCAGGAACCATCAGAATTGAATTAAAAAACGGGGAATTCAGCTTTTCCAAGGAAAAAAGCTCATGTCTGCTGCTACACACTATACTTAGTTACATCACCTTGCACAGAGCACACACAAAGGAATTTTTAGGAAATAAGCCAAGTAAATAAAATTAAATGACAAAGTAAATTAATAAATAAAACAGTAGCTACCATGCACTACCCTTCACATTAAGATGCACTTTTTCTTCTTCTTCTTCTTTTCTCCCGGGACTTTTTTCTTTCCTCCACCTTTCTTAGAGGCCCCCACTGGAGGCTCAGCAAGTTTTTTGTCTCTTGTTATTGCAAGCAGCAAAAAGAATGCCTACGGTTGGGTTAATAGAGAAGACCAAACTGAAAACCCATCTTTAAAGACACACTGAAACAGATCAATGCTGTTTCATGCTAGAAAACTACATTTGCATCTTGAGTTTTTTTTTTTTTTTTTTTTTTTCATGTTTGGAAGTATAACAGATTTGGGTTCTCCTTTCTTGGTATGATTTTCAGATTCTTTATACTGAGAATTCAATATTTTTCTATGAAAAAAATCCATTTCTTACTTTTTTTTTTTGAATGCTCGTTTCTTTTCTTTCCATGGTATCCTAGGTTTTAAAAGCTTATTTGTAAATGATCAACAACAATTTTCTGCAAATATTATGAATTATTTGCCTCATGCCATTTTCCTATACATTTCTCTAATGCACATAATATGTCTTAAAAGGACCTATGACCCAACACTCAAGATGCTTATAATGTGTTTTCCAATGACTGAATGGGGATCATCCGAGAGAGCTTAGACGAAGGTTTCTTGGACACAAGGCCTTATACGATTAGAATAAGAATACATGAAATGCATTCAACAAGCAAAACTAAAGTGACGGGTAATCATGACAGATTCGTGCCCTTGTACACTGGACAGAAATTCGACAAAACTTAAGAGATAAACAACCCCTGCGCTGCCTAGTTTAAGATACTTTCTGACTCCACTCTCCAGTTCATCATAATTTAAAGATAATTTACAAGACACTTGGCTAACCCAGAGGATCCCCATTGTCAGGTCTACCCAACTACCAGACTCGGCACTGAATGATCCCAAATTCACTGGTAGATCGAACCACACTAACAGTTTTCAAGGTGTGCATCAGTACACAATTTCACAGTATCATACCCTGGAACAAATTTTAAGATGAGATGCACTACTTTCCAACCCCGCTCAGAATCATCGAAAACGGGTAGTGTTGTCCGATCTACTGGAGAATTCGGGATCATTCAGTGCCGAGTCTGGTAGCTGGGTAGGCCTGATTATGCATCATTTGTGTTAGATATGTGGGCCATGGTAAATGGAGCCTTGACTATTATTTAACCATTCTCAACTCATTCACATAACAACCCCCATGACACTTTTCAAACCATTTCAGTTCTAATATTTTAGCAGACTGCCTAAACAAGACACATGAAGATCTAGGGTCTCCTGTGAGTGTGTGTCCATGTAGCTTTAGGATTCAAATCCAAATATGAGCACATCACTCTACATTTTTTAAATTACTTTTTTTGTCAACAAAATTGTCAACAAAAGGTTATACAGCATTAATATTGCATATAATCTGCAGGTGCAAAAAGTCAAGACAAAAGCCATCACCATTTCAACACATGCTAACCACAAAGGATAGATGTCACTACCAGCTACAACATATATTACTAAAACAAGACATGCCAAAACCAAGCTGCACGATTCGGGTTATATGCATACAATAAAGACCAAGCTTTGTTTTAATTTGCTTAGTACTGAAACAACAAAATGAAGCCATATGCTTGTAGCGTTAAAAGGCCAAATTTAACATTAAAACATGACAAAAAGAAAAAAAAAATTGAGTATACTGAAATCGCTGAGATGATATTAGAAATCTGAATTTTTTTCCATAGTTATATTTCACTTTTGATGGCAATGAACTTGGATATATTGATAAGAAAGATGAATGTACAATTAATATTTAATATTTAAAGTTCTATTAAGATAAAAAGAAAAAAATGACCATGGAAAAATATTGATTACTAATATAAATCAGAACAACACAAATGCTGGTACAGGATAAGCTCACCTTGCAAGTCAGTGCCACCTACCTTATCTACATTTGCTCGTGTTTTGGCAGAGGTCTCGACATACTGCACATTCCACTGTTGGGCTCGTTGTGTCGCCTCTTCGATAGAGACCTGTCGTTTGTCTTCTAAATCTGCTTTATTTCCGACCAATAAAAATGGGATGTTTTCATCACTTTTCACTCGTAAGATCTGTTCCCTAAAAATTGAAAATAAAAAACCAATTACTACTACAATTAAAGAAAAAAAGTTTGTATCATTACATTTATCATTATGATATCTTTGATATCCTCTTAACTGAGAAAAAGCAATTAAACTGATACACTGACACAGACTGGCTTTGGTTTGGTGAAATACTGCAGGCTAAAAAAAATTCCCATCACAAAATTGCCACAGTAATTGCGATCCTTAATATAGCAAAGCCATGATAGCTTTTGAACATTAACAACAGCCATCCTGGCCCAGATGTAATTTCACAACCAGTCTCCAATAAACAACTCTTATCTTTTTTTATGATATCAGCATTACTGCCAGAAATAAACTGTCCACATTAACCACTGCAATAACAATGACAGTTTGCCCCACAATTACACATTATGCAAATAAAGTATATTTCCCAATAAGTAAGGTAGCTATTTTAAGACTAATAGTTTTGATTGCAACTTGCACATTAGCAAGTCGGTAATGGCAACAATATAGTTTGGCAATTATATACAGGACTCCATATATACCTATTGGCATTATTTTCCTGGTGTAAGTAATTTCTGTGGAAAGGTGACTGGAAATTAAGTCATTCTTGACAATAAACACAAGTGACTTGCTCTTCAATCACTTACCCACCTTAGAAAGCCCCTCCCCCAGACATACTTTTTTGTTTTTTTCTCCCCCCTACTATTTCAAAAATTTATTTTGAAGTGGGGCAAGCAGATTTTTAAAGTCAAGCCCTAATATGGACATGTATGATAACATAAAACTGGTATGCAATGCAATAACATTACACCACAATATAATCATATGAAATGAATGAGTTTATGTTCTGTGAAAAATTTCAGAAAATATTTTGAGATTTTTGAAAGAAAACTAGGTTTATACCATAAAAGTACATTTCTGAGGATACCAAAAAATCAACAAACTGTCTAAAATAAATAATTAGCATAAGATTAATAATTCATTAATAAAAAACTGACAATGCATGAGTGGCATCTACACACATTAACCACCATAGATACAACCTACATCAGCTCTAAATGAAAGAATCTGCATCCTTTGTTCCCATATGGCATTCAGGATGATTTTAAAAGTGGTTACTTACCCCCATAGGATTGACAATACAATATTACAATTCCACAGGCACTTGATTATAAGCAATACTAGGACTACAGGAGTCTGCTTCACAAAATATGTGAAAAAGAACCATATTGCCCTTGAAAATTTTGGTGAAATTTGTACTATAAGACTTATGTTCTTCAAATATGTCAATTAATTACATAATATTTGTATCATTTAATTTACTTCCAAGTCTTTTGAAGAAATTCAAAGTTGAGTACAGTTCTATACTAATTTTATCAACACCTGTCCAACCTTTTGATTGCAATTTTCATAAAGATTGCATTGTATATTATGTACCAGTCATGTGTAAAATCAGTCAGCCTTCCCACTGCCTCTCCCCCCCCCCCCCAATCTTTCATCCTTTCTTTCATTAAGCTCCCCTTCCTCCTGATTCACCATTAGCTACAAGTTGCACTCTTCATCTTATCTTTAATGCTGAAATATTTATTTCATAATATCTTCATTCAGCAGAACATTATCTAAATACAATATTTTTGAAGGATCTGATGTGCTAAAAATAGTGGGTGAGCTTTTTTTCTTATGTGTTAAAAACTATCTATTTAATTATTTATTTTTCTTTCATGGTGGAATAAGGGGCATGATGAAAAGGGGGTTCTATCTCCCTTAACTGGTACCCGTTTTCTGATAGTTAACACTCACAAATGGTGAAACATTTGACATTTCAACAGGCCCCCAGCTCACGCTGCCTCACCGCCTAGGCTGCATATTCATGTTTTGCGTAAGTCTACATTTTGCTGTATGTGCTTGTAATCTTTTTAAATATGTGCGTACAATTTTTGCAGGTCTGGTTACCCCCCTGNTTTTTTTTTTTTTTTTTTTTTTCTTTTTTTTTTTTTTTTGGAAGTATAACAGATTTGGGGTCCCCCTTTCTTGGTAGGATTTTCAGATTCTTAATACTGAGAGTTCAATATTTTTCTATGAAAAAAATCAATTTCTTACATTTTTTTTTTATTGAAATGCTCGTTTCTTTTCCTTCCATGGTATCCTAGATTTTAAAAGCCTATTTGTAAATGATCACCAACAATTTTCTGCAAATATTATGAATTATTTGCCTCATGCCATTTTCCTATATCTCTCTCTAATGCACATAATATGTCTTTAAAGGACCTATGACCCAACACTCAAGATGCTTATAATGTGTTTTCCAATGACTAAATGGGGATCATCCGAGAGAGCTTAAAAGAAGGTTTCTTGGACAGTGAAACCCTACATGACTATAAAATGAATAAGAATACATGAATGGCATTCAACAAGCAAACAAAAGTGACAGGTAATCATGACAAGATTCGTGCCATTGTACACTGGACAGAAATTCAACAGAACTGAAGAGATAAACAACCACTGCGCTGCCTAGTTTAAGATACTTTCTGACTCCACTCTCCTGTTAATCATAATTTGAAGATAATTTGCAAGACACTTGGCTAACCCAGAGGATCCCCATTGTCAGGTCTACCCAATTACCAGACTCGGCACCGAATGATCCCAAATTCACCCGTAGATCGGACCACACTATCCGTTTTCAAGGTGTGCGTCAGTACGCATTTCACAGTATCATACCCCAGAACAAATTTTGAGATGAGATGCACTACTTTCCGACCCCGCTCAGAATCATCGAAAACAGGTAGTGTGGTCCGATATACTGGAGAATTCAGGATCATTCGGTGCTGAGTCTGGTAGCTGGGTAGGCCCGACTGTGCATCATTTGTGTTAGATATGTGGGCAATGGTAAATGGAGCCTTGACTATTATAACCATTCTCAACTCGTTCATATCAAGTAGCCCCCATGACACTTTCCAAATCATTTCAGTTCCAATATTTTAGCAGACTGACTAAACAAGACACATGAAGATCTACGGTGCCCTGTGAGTGTGTGTGTGTCCATGTAGCTTTAGTATTCAAATCCAAATATGAGCAAGTCACTCTACATTTTTGAAATTACTTTTTTAAATTGTCAACAAAAGGTTATACAGTGATAATATTGCATATAATCTGCAGGTGCAAAAAGTCAAGACAAAGGCCATCACCATTTCAACACATGCTAACCACAAAGGATAGATGTCACTACCAGCTACAACATAAATTACTAAAACAAGACATGCCAAAACCAAGCTGCGCGACTTGGGTTATATGCATACAATAAGGACAAAGCTTTGTTTTGCTTAGTACTGAAACAACAAAATGAAGCCATATGCTTGTAGTGTTAAAAAGCCACATTTAACATTAAAACATGAAAAAAAAGCAAAAAAAAAAAAAAAATTAAGTATACTGAAATCGCTGAGATGATATTAGAAATCTGAATTTTTTTCCATAGTTATATTTCACTTTTGATGGCAATGAACTTGCATATATTGATAAGAAAGATGAATGTACAATAAATATTTAATATTTTAAGTTCTATTCAGATAAAAATAAAAAAAATGACTATGGAAAAATATTGATCACAAATATAAACCAGAACAACACAACCGCTGGTACAGGATAAGCTCATCTTTCAGTCAACGCCACCTACCTTATCTACATTTGCTCGTGTTTTGGCAGAGGTCTCGACATACTGCACATTCCACTGTTGGGCTCGTTGTGTCGCCTCTTCGATAGAGACCTGTCTTTTGTCTTCTAAATCTGCTTTGTTTCCGACCAATAAAAATGGGATGTTTTCATCACTTTTCACTCGTAAGATCTGTTCCCTAAAAATTAAAAATAAAAAAACAATTACTACTACAATTAAAGAAAAAAATGTTTGTATCATTACATTTATCATTATGATATTTTTGATATCTTCTAAACTGAGAAAAAGCAATTAAATTAAAGCATTGACATAGATTGGCTTTGGTTTGGTGAAATACTGCAGGCCAAAAAAAATCCCCATCACAAAATTGCTGCAGTAATTGCAATCCTTAATATAGCAAAGCTATGATAGCTTTTGAACATTAACAACAGCCATCCTGGCCCAGATGTTATTTCAAAACCAGTCTCCAACAAACAGCTCTTATCTTTTTTTATGATATCAGCATTACTGCCAGAAATTAACCGTCCACATTAATCGCTGCAATAACAATTACAGATTACTTCACAATTACACATTATGCAAATTAAGTATATTTCCCAATAAGTAAGGTAGCTATTTTAAGATTAACAGTTTATATATAATTAGTACTAGTAAGTTGTTGGTATATTTATTGCAACTTGCACATCAGCTTATAATGGCGCCAGCATAGTTAGGCAAATTATATGAAGAGCTCAATATACCTATTGGCATTATATTCCAGGTGCAAATGATTTCTGTGGAAGGGCGATTGGAAATTAAGTCATACTAACTTGCCAACAAACATAAGTGATTTGCTCATCAATCACTTATGCACCTTAGAAAGCCCCCCACACACACACACACACACTTTTTTTTATTTTTTATCTCCCCCCCCCCCAACTCTTTCAAAAAATTGACTTTGAAGTGGGCAAGATTTTTAAGTCAAGCACTGATACGGATATACAATATATAATAAAATGAAACTGGAATGCAATGCAATAACATTACACCACAATATTATCACACGAAAGGAATTAATGTTCTGTGAAAATTTTCAGAAAATAATTATATTTTGAGATTTTTGAAAGAAAACTAGGTTTATGCCATAAAAGTACATTTCTGAGGGTACCAAAAATCAACAAACAGTCTAAAATAAATAATTAGCATAAGATTAATAATTCATTAATAAAAAACTGACAATGCATGAGTGGCATCTACACACATTAACCACCATAATAGATACAACATACATCAGCCTTAAATGAAAGAATCAGCATCCTTTGTTCCCATATGGCATTCAGGATGATTAAGTGGTCACTTACCCCCATAGGATTGACAATACAATATTACAATTCCACAGGCACTTGATTATAAGCAATACTAGGACTACAGGAGTCTGCTTCACAAAATATGTGAAAAAGAACCATATTGCCCTTGAAAATTTTGGTGAAATTTGTACTATGAGACTTATGTTCTTCAAATATGTCAATTACATAACATTTATGTATCGTTTAATCTATTTTCAAGACTTTTGAAGTAATTCAAAGTTGAGTACAGGTCTATACTAATTTTACCAACACCAGTTCAACCTTTTGGTTGCAATTTTCATAAAGATCATGCTATTGTATATTATGTACCAGTCATGTGTAAAATCACAGTCAGCCTTCCCTCCTCATCCCCCCACCCCAATCTTTCATCCTTTCTTTCATTATGCCCCCCTTCCTCCTGATTCACCATTAGCTACAAGTTGCACTCTTCATCTTATCTTTAATACTAAAATATATTCATTTCATAATCTCTTTATTCAGAAGAACATGATCTAAATACAATATCTTTGAAGGATCTGATGTGCTAAAAATAGTGGGCGAGCTTTTTTTCTTATGTGTTAAAAACTATCTATTTAATTATTTATTTTTCTTTCATGGTCGAATAAGGGGCATGATGAAAAGGGGGTTCTATCTCCCTTAACTGGTACCCGTTTTCTGATAGTTAACACTCACAAATGGTGAAACATTTGACATTTCAACAGGCCCCCAGCTCACGCTGCCTCACCGCCTAGGCTGCATATTCCTTTTCTTACATAACTGCTCACAATATTGATTTAAACCACATCTCCCTTCGCTGAATAATGCTGTCATCAATCGGCACATTTGTCTAGGTCAAGATACACAGACTGAGACAGAAAAAAATGTCTGTCTGGAAATAACCACACAGATGAAAAAAGATTTTTTTTTGTTGAAAAGGATATAGTTTTTGACAAATATGTGGATAATTATATTCGACTTGAAAATCTAAACATTGATGAAAAATGTGGCTTCAACCAGCAAAAGTCCCATGTTCTCCTAGAGGAATTTAGGCATTTGGCTAATATGACTTATGATAGAGAGATCTCAGTATAAATATTCGAAGGACAGTTCTAGGATTTTTGCTTAAATTTTTAAAAACCTGAATGCGTGCTGGTTTTTACAGGTCTTTCATATAAGCCATTTACAGTACTAGTAACTACTAGCTTCAGGTAGGTAATGAAAAGAATTGGTCATTGCAAAAATGATTTTTCAAAAGATCAAAAATCTTACATGATGAAAAATGAAAATTTGCTATGAGATTATAGACGGTTAAAAATGATTTTATAGAACAGGTAATATGTGTTCACAAAATACTGCATAATTCTTCTTGAAAAAGGCCCTACTAAATTTACATTCCATTCCCCTTCCCAACAGGGTATCGATCGCTGTAATCCACAACACCTTCATTCAACCTATGAAAGCTGAACTGAAGTGAAGCCAGGCCTGCCAGCTGAATTATACTGATATCTTTTATCCTCTCTTCCCACAGAGTGTCAGTAAACCTTTCAAATGCCAAATGTCTCATCTCCTNAATTCGAGAAATGGATTTTTACATGAACATTGTCCTTTAAGTCATTCTTGACAATAAACACAAGTGACTTGCTCTTCAATCACTTACCCACCTTAGAAAGCCCCTCCCCCAGACATACTTTTTTGTTTTTTTCTCCCCCCTACTATTTCAAAAATTTATTTTGAAGTGGGGCAAGCAGATTTTTAAAGTCAAGCCCTAATATGGACATGTATGATAACATAAAACTGGTATGCAATGCAATAACATTACACCACAATATAATCATATGAAATGAACTGAGTTTATGTTCTGTGAAAAATTTCAGAAAATATTTTGAGATTTTTGAAAGAAAACTAGGTTTATACCATAAAAGTACATTTCTGAGGGTACCAAAAATCAACAAACAGTCTAAAATAAATAATTAGCATAAGATTAATAATTCATTAATAAAAAAACTGACAATGCATGAGTGGCATCTACACACATTAACCACCATAGATACAACATACATCAGCTCTAAATGAAAGAATCTGCATCCTTTGTTCCCATATGGCATTCAGGATGATTTTAAAAGTGGTTACTTACCCCCATAGGATTGACAATACAATATTACAATTCCACAGGCACTTGATTATAAGCAATACTAGGACTACAGGAGTCTGCTTTACAAAATATGTGAAAAAGAACCATATTGCCCTTGAAAATTTTGGTGAAATTTGTACTATAAGACTTATGTTCTTCAAATATGTCAGTTACATAACATTTATGTATCGTTTAATCTATTTTCAAGACTTTTGAAGTAATTCAAAGTTGAGTACAGGTCTATACTAATTTTACCAACACCAGTTCAACCTTTTGGTTGCAATTTTCATAAAGATCATGCTATTGTATATTATGTACCAGTCATGTGTAAAATCACAGTCAGCCTTCCCTCCTCATCCCCCCACCCCAATCTTTCATCCTTTCTTTCATTATGCCCCCCTTCCTCCTGATTCACCATTAGCTACAAGTTGCACTCTTCATCTTATCTTTAATACTAAAATATATTCATTTCATAATCTCTTTATTCAGAAGAACATGATCTAAATACAATATCTTTGAAGGATCTGATGTGCTAAAAATAGTGGGCGAGCTTTTTTTCTTATGTGTTAAAAACTATCTATTTAATTATTTATTTTTCTTTCATGGTGGAATAAGGGGCATGATGAAAAGGGGGTTCTATCTCCCTTAACTGGTACCCGTTTTCTGATAGTTAACACTCAAAAAGGGTGAAACATTTGACATTTCAACAGTCCCCCAGCTCACGCTGCCTCACCGCCTATTCTGCATATTCCTTTTCTTACATAACTGCTCACAATATTGATTTAAACCACATCTCCCTTCACTGAATAATGCTGTCATCAATCGGCACACTTGTCTAGGTAAAGATATGCAGACTGAGACAGAAAAAAAATGTCTGTCTGGAAATAACCACACAGATGAAAAAAGATTTTTTTTGTTGAAAAGGATATAGTTTTTGACAAATATGTGGATAATTATATTCGACTTGATAATCTAAACATTGATGAAAAATGTGGCTTCACCCAGCAAAAGTCCCATGTTCTCCTAGAGGAATTTAGGCATTTGGCTAATATGACTTATGATAGAGAGATCTCAGTATAAATATTCGAAGGACAGTTCTAGGATTTTTGCTTAAATTTTTAAAAACCGGAATGCGTGCTGGTTTTTACAGGTCTTTCATATAAGCCATTTACAGTACTAGTAACTACTAGCTTCAGGTAGGTAATGAAAAGAATTGGTCATTGCAAAAATGATTTTTCAAAAGATCAAAAATCTTACATGATGAAAAATGAAAATTTGCTATGAGATTATAGACGGTTAAAAAATAATTTTATAGAACAGGTTATATGTGTTCACAAAATACTGCATAATTCTTCTTGAAAAAGGCCCTACTAAATTTTCATTCCATTCCCCTTCCCAACAGGGTATCGATCGCTGTAATCCACAACGCCTTCATTCAACCTATGAAAGCTGAACTGAAGTGAAGCCAGGCCTGCCAGCTGAATTATACTGATATCTTTTATCCTCTCTTCCCACAGAGTGTCAGTAAACCTTTCAAATGCCAAATGTCTCATCTCGTCTCGCAACACAGCATACACTGTGAGACAAGATCAATGACTTGACTGTTACACCACTTTCAGATTCACACATCGTACTTGTTCGGTCGGTCCACTCTGCGGGGAATTCTCGCTAAAGTACAATCAGTGGAATGAGCTTAATTGCCTGGCACGCCTCCTGAATCAGCTTGGGAGGAAATTAACTTTTGCTGATAAGACTGATTCAACTTAACTGAGAATCAGAGTTGGACCGACCCAGCTAGTACAAAGTGTGAATCTGAATCTGATTTTACAGTAATTAGCAAAATTGAATTATAACTTGAACTCCTACCCCCCCCCCACCCACTCTCTATCTCTGTTCCTCTCTCTCTCTCTCTCTTTCTCTCTCTCCCTCTCTCTCTCTCCCCCCTTAGGAGAAATTGGCCAACAGGAAAGAAGAGAGAGAGAGGGAGAATTCTGATATATTCAACTAAAAAAAAAAACTTTCGTGCAACTTCTGTTCAATTCAGTTGAGCTGTTCACCAGATTAAACTGTTAGTTCAGGAAAACTTGACATGATACTTTATCTTAAAAGTTTACATCTTGCAGTCTTTAACACACACTTTAAATCTACGAGTTCCTCTTTTAGTTGTAAACAAAAAATCTTCTGCTAAACCATCTGGGGATTTGGCTCTGCAGACCAATGTAGTTTGACTTTCTTATCTCCGAGAGAATAGTTTTGGGAGGATTTTAGCATTTCAAGAAGCTTGATTACATTAAGAATCCACAGAGATATATAAAGACCCAAACAATACTAGTACCAGATATTATCATCAAGAAAAACAGTCCGTGTAATGTATGTAAACCCAGAAAGTTACAAGAGGGAGAAACAACTGGGAGAGCATTTCAATTTTCACATATTCACTTTCAATGTGATAAATAAATAAATAAATAAATAAATAAATAAATAAATAAATAAATAAACTAAAACTAAAGTAAGCAGTATATTCTGACCTCTCTTTTCTTTAGAAAGAAATATATACCCTGAGCCAGCTACTGGTATACGTACTAGTAATTACCTTCACATTGATACACTTATTATACCTTTTATAAAAACGATACTTTCCACTGCAATCACTATACCACAAAATTTCTTCTACCAGCATAATATAATGAACCTGTCACTCTTCCTTTTCAATACTTGAAATGCTAATAAAAAGTTCTTTCATATACAAATGCGCTTCCTGGGTGCACTGCAGATATACACAGCTGACTTTTTTAATGGACGAAAATTGTGAATTTACTGATTATGTATTTTTTAAGTCATAAATTCTTAGAATTAGAACATTTTTACAGAGTGGTAGCAGCAAAACTGAAATAAAGGCTACTACACCATACAAGCGCCACAAATGATTTACAGACTTTATTTCAGAATAGGGGACTAGCTAGTCCGAGGGTCAAATATGGCAACCCACTACAAAGCTTGCTGTCTAATCTGCTAATTGACACTGAAGAAATATCCTGTGGTTACTAGTAAGTATTCAAGTGGGTCGGCCATATTTGACCCTCGGACTAGTTAGTGCCCTAGTCTGAATGAGGCCATTGGGTTCTATGACTCCAAAATTATGTTTCTGAAGGATTGATTATTTTTCCCCATTGAAAAAATTTAATCATTACTGTTACCATATGTATCATCACCTACCTGAATTCTGCTGTCGCCTGAAAAGACTCTTGCTCAGTTATGGAGAACACACATAAGAAGCCTTCGCCACTACGGAAATAGTTATCTCTAATGGCAGCATAGTCTTCTTGGCCCGCTGTGTCTAAAATGTCTATTTGTACATCTTCACCGTCCAGAACTACTTTCTTCCTATATGAATCTGCTTTTGTTGGTTCATAATCTTCTACAAACTGAAATGGATTAATGAATGGATTCATGTTCGTATGATTATCAATTAGTAAGTAGCCTGTCTTGCTTTCTTTTTTTCTTCTAATTAAAAATAAGTCAAGAAAAAAACAAATGAACAGTAACAATCTCGAACATTTTTTCTCTTTTTTCTTCATACATGAAATATCCTAAAATTGCCTACGTTTTTTGTCCTAGTTCCTTATGGTACTCAACAGACTGGAGTTAATATCTAAGTTAACCCGTTTAGTCGACTTCAGTCATTTAGTCGATTTCAGCCATTTTGTCAATCAGAACAAGTCCCAGTGGCTCTGCTCACTACAACTTCTCATTAGAGGTGCTTCTTCATCTCTAAATATAGTTAGCACCTAAACCGTGCATTTTATGCAGTTATGTCATTCCTTAGCTGAAGATGGTTTTGTGACACAATCATCTCCCAGGTTGAATAAAAAGCAATTTAACATTCTAAATAATCAAATTTGCATAGAGATAGGGAGAGAAAGAGAGAAGGAGATATATGCCTATTACATTATCCCTTACCTCATCATACATAAATTGTAATGTAAGTGCCGACTTTCCAACACCACCGCTCCCCACCATGATGACTTTGTGGATGACGGCCGGCTGCTGCGCCTTTCCTTTGGCTGCCATGATGCTGCTGCTACCGGACTGCAACTGACACCGCTGTCCTTCAGTCCTCGACTCGTCTGCCTTTTTGTTCTTCAAAAATGAGAAACATTTAAACATCTTGTCTAGCTCTCCAGAGGATACTGTTTCTTAGAACAATATGTTGTCCTCATATAAAAATGTATAATTATCAGTTATGGTATTGTTACACCCTTTAAGCCAATGATGAATTTCTTACACCTGATTACTTGATCACAGGTAGACTGATAAATGCTATTAATTGTCCAGATGATACATCCTTGTCGAACTCTCTGAGAATAAATAACAGCGTATCTGATGGCGACTGCCCCTCCTTTTTTTATACCTACTTATGTGTAGGATCTATTTATAATATTGTGTTACTCATACCTACTTTACCATGCACTACTCCCCTACACAGAGTTCTTCCTCATTTATGGCTCAAAAATCAACATAACAGTGTAATTAAAAAAAAAAAAGTTTTGTGTATTGAATAGTGAAATGCGTAAAGCCTGACTGCATTCAGTGAGTGTCCCTTGGGCTTAGGCCTAATTCCAGTCTTTTCATGTATTCATTTACTTGTATGGGCATTTCCTTCTTACTATATCTATGCTATTTTAAGATTGGCAGGAAATCTCCAGTCTATAAACTATTTCTCACTCTGATACTTTTCAAATATCAAAAGTAAATCACTTTAAAATAAGGCAGGTGTTTTTACCAGAGACATGATTGATGATCCTACACCATTACCATTTTTACACAAGCAACAACAACAACAACAAAAAATTTTAATGTATAATGTAATTTTTCACAATATTTGTTATTTTGCTGCTAGTATTTTGCAAATAAATTCATTAAATAGAAGTCTTTTTAATAGACTTAATTCACATTTCATATGACATTTTGACAAAAAATATCAATAAATAAAAGCAGCACCTGAATATAAACAGAAAAGGTCCCTTTAATCTTATCTAAATCCGGTCCAGTTGGCAAACGCTGATTCATTAAAATCCTGTATTACTGATTAATTAATCACTTGGCAAAGAGGACGTGTCCTCTAAATTTTCTTTGGTACAGGTAATACAACAACAGGCAAACCCCAAAACAAACTGACTCATCCCAATCTCATGAAAAGTACAGAGGGTAGTCCTACATAGTAATCATTTTTTTCAGTGAGGTACAAAATTTAAGTTATTATTGTTACCATTTCCACAAAATAAACCCGAGATCATATTGTCTGTAACTCAGGGTTTGTTTCCAATAAAACTATCATTCTACTTAGATCAATCCATCTTTGCAAACTCTCACAGAAAGAATGCAATCAGTTTAACAGATTCACACACCCCTTCCTGATACCTGTTCACTAGAGTACTGAAAAGCTGGTGATTATACAGGCATGCTGGAAATAAAAGAAGGCACGTTAATCTGTTAAACTGATTGAACTCAGCCAGAGTCCCCACAGAGTTGGACTTATCTATGTAGAACGATAGCTGCATTGGGAATGAACCCTTACATTATGGATCTGTTTTCTGGAACTCACACTGTGCTCTGTTTGATGATAATATTGCACTTTCTTTTGCTGCTACAATCATAAATGCTTTGAGATACTCGAGAAGATAGATGTTACCATTAGTGTCTTTCATGTCAAAGTATTGATCCACTACTGAAAGCATAATGATTTAGGATACATTCCAACTCTGATATTAATGTAATGGGATTTTTGTCCTGAAGATATTTAGTTAGTTCTGAAGATTTTTCTTTACTTTCCTTTTATTTTTTTTTAATTTTTCATTTTTTTTTTTTAATGATACTTCTCATACACTGATGTTCTTTTTTTTATGTTGAAAATAATAAATTATTTCATTTTTCCCCATCATCAGCATGCCATCTGATTTTATCTCCCAACCATCTCTTTATAGCTACAAAAGGTGCTTTGTGCCACTTTCATTAAAATTTCTTTTTTTATTAAAAAAAGTCTCACTTCACAAAAAATGTTAACACAAAGAAATTATACCATCAGATTTTTTTATCCAGCTTATTTTCCTACCACTTCAATGACACATATTTTTTCACAATTCAATTTTTTTTTAAATTTTACACCAGTGACAATGCAAGCACAATTCTACTACTTCATTTCTGATAACACATAACAATAAGAGACCTAGAAAACCACAAAACCTTGAAGGAGCATTTTAAGATAAATAACAAGTATGGAATGATATAGCCTTATAGGTCAAATACATGGAAGTAGTGGTATGAGGACCATTGTTATGCATTAGTAAACAAGCACTTCCCACAAAATAAATACAACTCATCCACAGAGCACAAAGACAGGGCACAAAGTTGATTTGTTCCAACAAAATAATTATTTTTTTAATATGAACATTCAAAACATAAATTTGTGTTTTACATGAAACTGATTGTCAAGAATTTTTTTATGGTTTACAGATGGTAACTGTATCTTCAATACACAAATGTTGAAATATTAAATAATTTCAATCAAACCTTTCTAAATCTACCAAATTATTAAATGAAATTTCAAATAAGAACACATAATCAAAGCTTGGTCATCAGTAATATATATCTAAGTCTTAAAATTTAACCAACAACCACACACATTATTTTTAAGTGTCTGTAAAATTAGGTCACATTTATAAGCTTGCATATAACTTTAAGATAACCTTAGCTAATACCAAGCTCTCACTGCCAGGTCCCTATGGCTGAGACACCTGATAAAGCCACAGGTAAATCACGACCAAGTAAACAATACAATCTAGAGAGGAAAACTACAACAACTGCGTATGACTCATACTTGTGTACTCAGGTATGGAGACGAGTCACCGCTGGGTGGTTGATTCAGGTAATTTTTTTCTCTTAGCCAAATCAGTACTTTTTTTATCTCCAAATGGTTTAAATTTGACTAAAACAAGTCAAATCAACCATTTTTATTTAGCCAACTCAAGTCAGTTTTAGCATTTGGCTATATCGGTGAGTGACTACCCCAGCTTATATGTTACAGAACATATTTATAAATACATACACATGTATAAAGGTTTCTGTCTTTCTAGTAACATAGAGGTGCATATACAAAATTGATCAGCCTCTTCTATAAACCCTCTCCTCTGGGTAAGCTTTGCTATTTTTGCCCTTTGGGAATCTTAACATCAGCAAACCTATCCCAATTAAACAAATCAGGTCTTTCATGTCAAAGTATATGATATATATATATATATATGTATATACATGTCCGGGGGGGGGGGGGGGGGTTAATTGTCCTGATACCGTATGGGGGCGTCTCGATAGTCCGAAGGTTCATTGGTCCGAAAAGTGGTAACATTTTCATCGATTTTTTTAATCAAGGGTTCATTGGTCCGAAGGTTCTATAGTGAACATTCGGACCAATGAACCTTCGGACTATCGCTACGGCCCCATACCGTATATATACGAAGTTGATATCATATACTTAATCCTTTAATAAACCATGGAAGATGTCATGATCAAAGACCTTTTGTGTTGGATCTCACAAACATATATCTGATGTGCCTGAATAGGCATAAAAAACAATAATTGCCATTTGAGTCTGATTTGTGATTTGCAACTCCAAATTTATGCTTAAAACTTGGATATTAAGTTGAACTACTAAGCCTAGGTCCTCATATTTTCTAGGAAACTTCAGACCCCCCCCCCCCCTTTGTATCCTCAAGCCATAGATTTTCAGCCTCTCTGAACTGATTAAGCAAGCTCAGATTCTATATCTGACAAGCTCTGATTCTATATATTGTTTCAGTGTAATTATCAAAATGGCCATTTATCTGTTTGCCATAAGCCTAAGCATGTTATCTATGTCCATGAAAGTTTACTGACCCCCCACCCCACACAAACACATCCCCATCATCACATTATACCAGTGTAAATACCAGAACAGTGATATTCCCTGCAAAACCCGTGGAAAGAATTCTTGGAATGTGTACTATTTCATCACAACCCAGGGTTCGTTTTATAAACATACAAAAGCTAGCCGCCCAGACATGGGTTTTCCCTTCAACATGAAATTTCCATTCCAATAAATTGGGCAAGATCAACCGAATATTTGTGACAACACCTGTTTTTACCTAGGCACCTATCAAAAAACATCCCCAGGAGCTTAAGATGGTTTCTATCAAGGCAGGGAAGACACTAACCCTAGCCCGGTTGAATGACCCATTTGCATATCCATTTACTATTTAGAATGTAAATTGCAGACAACATTCTTCGTTTCTGATGCACAAATACAATTGAAAAATCGATCAACGAGTCTAAATGTAGTCGGTTAACGAGCTGGTACACAGAAAAAAATTACCTCGTAATTCTCCTTCTTTTGGGCGGTTACCAGAACGAACAGGAAGCAAGCAAATTGTGATTTACTTGAACTCTTGACAACTTCCCTTTCCTTTCTCGCATAAAAATGGCGGATGCAGCGAATTGCATTGTGGGAAAGCTGTGACCTAATATGATGACCTAATTAAATATTCGATGGAAAATAATCTATGAATTCGACATTGGATTAAGCTTTCTAATCAGAAACTTAAAAATAGAATCTATTCATATTTGGCTATGATGTGACAGGTGATTTAAACAAGATGAACCCAAGGAATTTAAGACAAACAAACAAATATTGAAGTATTAAAATATTCCCGCTAGAGGGCAGTTAGGTAGATCCAGGGAAAATGGCCGCTTTGCTAGGGAGCCTTTCGGCCCCAGCAAAATCAGCTCCCGATTCTGACGGTAAGTGAAATATTTTCTTGGCGATCGCCTCGCCTACAGATGCATTCTAGTCTGTGTCCTCTATACCAGAAATTTCAACGCCTGGAGCGATTTCTTATTGTCGTAGATTGCAGGCCATCCTCCGGATTTCCCCAGAACTCCCCAATGTAAACAGATGCAGCCAGGAGTTACTTGATACTCGGGACCTGGGTTTTCTTGGCATAGGTCATGTTTTGTTCTTTTTCCTCCTATTTTGTCAAAATGTATGTATACATGAGAGGCAGTGTAGTTTAACTATCACAGAATATACCAGGGTTTTAGTTCAAATAGAGAAATCATGCGGTTTTGATAACCCTCCTTTCAGTATCAAGGCCATGGAAAGGGCACAGATACTGAAAACATATATTATATAGTCTCTTGTATAATGACTCAACAGTGATTTATGAAAAAATACCTCTATGCATTGTGTTTATTATATGCTTTTACAAATGGAGTGCAATTTTGTGTTGCGTGGGATATGTTTTTAGGTGTTTGGAAAATGAATCCTGTGCAGAGAAGGTTTCCAGATATCTTGTGGCACACATTTTAAAGCATAGAAAGTTTGTTAGATTTTTTAGAGCAAAGTGATGTTTTTCCTAGAAATTTTAGTTATTTCCCTAAACCAGTAAGGTCTATTCTACTCAAAACTGTTCACAGAATTACATTTCAATAAAGCCCTTGTTTTTGAGTTTTAATTCCCACTCTCACCATTACACCACCTCTATTACCATGGTGACAAAAAATTATGAAACTTGGAACTCAGCAGATTTTACAGATATTGACTTTTTCATATGTCAGATACTCCTTATGCACCTTAAATGGGTTTAAGGATCTTAAACTGTTTTTTTTTTTTTTTTTTTTTTTTTCAAAATCTTAAACTTCTATTAGTACTCATGTAGATAGACATTTTTATATCCATCAAATACTTTTATCAATCTGGTAACATCAAATATCATATTATATCTTGGGTAAAGCTTACCTCTCTAAACCTCCCCCATTGTGCCCCCCCCCCCCTCCCCTTTGGAGTTGAAGTTTAATGTGTTGTCTCTTGATTTGAGTTGGCCCTAGCCGGTGCAGGATTACTGTAGTAGCATGGTTTAGTGTTCTGATTCATGCATTTATAAATACTTTATTGATGTTCCTTAAATTAAAAAAACTTGTTTCACAATTTCCAGATTCAGAACCGGGAGAGAAGCTTGGCCTACTGATGGAGAGATTGCGGCAGAAAAGAAGTCAACTCAAATCTTGGGGAGAGACATCAAAGATGTTAAGAATTGCTATTAATGTAAGTGTCTTAACAGCCAGATCCTAATATTTTATCCAGTACTGGCCCTTTGATACTATACTAGTACTAAGGCTTCATTCATGATGAGCCGCAGGCTAACAGATCTGTAGATCAGGTATGGCCAACCCACTTGAAAGCTACTAGTAGCCACATAATGCCCGTGGAGAGTCTATTCAGTGTTTGTTGGGAATTATGCAGCAAGCTTACATGTGGGTCAGTCATATTTGGTCCGGGTATCTGTTAGTCCACAGATTATCTCTGCTATGGATACGCTCTAATACATGGGTCTGCTCTGATCTACGATCCCAAAGAAGAAATAGGGGGCAGTGTCAGAGCATATTCCAGACATGCTGAGAACTTTTCAGAATGGTGGGACATTTGGACCGGCAGTAATGAAGAATTTGCTGGATCAAATGGATTTTTGTCGGATCGAAAATCACTCTATAGATTCGTTTGAGACAGATACTACCAGTACAATTAGGGTAGCTGACTTTGTTTGTGAATGTGATAGTTTTGAAATGGATGGGAAAAAACGCTTTGGGTTTTATATAATTTTATTAGTGACAAAAGATGTCTGTAAATTCAAAATTGCGGTTCTTAAAACTCTTGTCAGTCCTTTGGACCGTCCAAGTCCAATTTTCTATCGGTCCAGACAAATTTTCCCAGTCATGACCGATCGGACCGACAGTTTCAGCATGTCTGATATTCACACTTTGTTATAAACCCTGGTTTTCTTTTACTAGTATTTAACATTGGACCAATGGCAAATACTACATCTTAATTTAGGACTTGATGTCTATCATTTTAGAAAATATAAATGTTTTGTATATAAAAACCCTAACACTGGTCATGACTTTTTGATACTGTGGGTAAATGTCATTTTCAAAGGGCTAGATATAGCTTCTGTGTTATTTATTTATTTATAATTTATTTATTTTAGGACAAAAGACAACAGTCTACAGCATTGGAAAAAGTTCAGTTACAGAAGTATATGGAGACACTGCAGAAGGCTTTGAAAGGTAGTTTTGAAATCTTATTATTTCCTTATTTTTTTGCAACTATAAAGTGCAGACCAGTACATTTAACTAGAGCATTATTAGCTAGGCAACCATCAAACTGTCTTTTGGATTTGCTATTTCAAATTTGATTGTTCTATTTTTTTAATTTTATTTCATTTTATTATTATTATTATTATTATTATTATTATTATTATTATTGTTGTTGTTGTTGTTGTTGTTGTTGTTATTAGTAATAATATTGAAACATACAGGGTCTAGACAACCTGAATCAGATACTCATAGATAATTAATTAAGACTCCCCATTTCAAAATTATGATAAAAGCCAATACATTCTGCCAGTAAATGACTGTATGCTTGCAATAAAAGCTTGTTAATAGTATGTATATTTATAAGGCTATAGGAAATAAGAGACATAAGCTTTTTCGTGGAAATGAGGAATTTCGTGTTTTTTTAATTCAATTCTGATGGTTCCTGAGATTCCCTGTGGTGTTGGGTCCCATGATAAATGTTCAGGTTTTTTTTTTTAACCTGGCCTCATGTCTGTTATAAAATATAGCATTATGCACAGCATGTAAATATCATTTGTTGCATCATGTATAGTACTTTGTTGGATAACATTGTTTATTTTAAAGCACAAAATTATTAAGGCAACAAAAGGTATATGCTGCACTAAATGTTATATACATGTACAAATCATGGTTTTAGTACCTTGTCCAAAGACCTTTAAGCTATAATGACACATTACTGAACAAATCACTTGGCTTAAGGCATTAAAGATCTTCATAGATAAGAGCACATTCAGAACAGTGGACTAACAGATCCACAGATCAGATATGGCCAACCCACTTAAATAAGCTTGTTGTATAATCCTCGCAGGGTGTCTAATCAGGAATTAAGCAGCAAGCTTTTAAATTTGTCGTCATATTGTATTGGATCCATGGACTAGCCATTTTTTTCCTCTTGTGCGATATCACGCCACCAGTCGATTCACATCTTTCTGTCCCTCATTTTCAAACCTTCACATAAACTAGTGTATATATTTCCAGTGAATACAGTACCAGCCTTGTTAGAGAGACTAGAGACCATGGCAGTACAGACTGGCTTGAAGTACACCCCGAGTGCCATGGGGTGCATCATAGCTTCTGACCTGTTTAAAGTGGAGGTCCTCTTTGATGGCACTGGGGTTTTCAGGGATGTCCGTGTGGCACACTGTGGGAGAGATTCAGAAGTGAGATTTGTATTTTATTTTTAAAGTAAAATAATTTCATGTCAGAGTTTTTTTTTTTTTCAAGTAAATGGTATACTGATATAAACAAGTTTTTTAATTTATATCACAGTAAGATGGTGGTTGTTAATTTAACTGCTATAAAAGTTTTTTATGTTTTGAGGCATTGCATCAACTATAATTATAATATGTAAGTTAGATATAGAAATTTTAGACAACAGTGACCAAATGTATTTCCTGTTGAACAAATTTCATTATTTATTGTATTAACAAATAAAGGGAGGGTAACTTTTCTAGAACCAAACTTTAACATTTGAAATGAAATGATGTGTTAGTTACCAGATGATTTTTGAAAAGTAAATGCATTTGTTGACATTTTTGTATATAATTGTTCTTTCTTCTTATAGAGTTGCCCAGAGATTCAAGAAATTCTCAAGTAAGTTGAGATTTTTATTGTTCATATTTTGCATGACAATGCATAGTATGATTTAATTTCAATATATAAAGCAAATATATATATAATATGTATGTTTTGGTCTGGCTAGGCAAATGCTATATATTTGCGTTATTTGGTGTGTTTTGATTAACAGTGAAGATAATACTTTGCACTATAGTATGATTTAATTTCAATATGTCAAGCAAATTATTGTTATTATTATTATTATTCATTTTCCCGTAGGGCTGGAAATCACTCTGAGTTTTTGGAACATTTGAGAGGTCTGGTTTCCATGTATCAAATAGGAGACAAAGACAAGTCAGTATTCCAGCCTTTTTTCAAATAGTTTGCATGGGTAAAGATTAAAACTCACATTTACCCCATCTTATAATTGGTTTGTTTAAAGGGAATCAACAAGTTTCTGTCAAGAGTTTAAAAAGATTGGGTTAATTGAATTATTTATTAATTTAAACTGGAACTCTATCAGAGTCAGATAAAATTTCAATAACCTGCAAGCTCCAGAACTCATTTCAGATTCAGTTTTCATGTTTCGTTAACTTTCCTTTAGTATTAAGATTTCCTCTATGATGTAAATATTGCTTTTATTTTGTCTACTTTTATGTTAATATTGCTATTTTAATATTTCAGGAAACTTAGAATCAAGGGTTTTATGGCTTTGACATCCCTGGAGTCAGATCTGAACAGGGTAGCCCAATTCCAGAGGTAATGTCTCAAATAATAAGTTATAGATTTAAATTTCCACCCCAGGAAGAAAAGTTCCATTTAGACAGGAACATTGATTTTAGTAAAATTCAGTCTTCAGACTTTTTTCTCCCCTATTATTCAGAAATCTGATTTTTTGCTTGGTGGTTTTTCATATTAAACAGCCTTAGATAGAGGTCATCGGCTTGGTATGCTTCAGTAATAAAAAATCTGGAAATATGTCAGTCCAAAGTTGGTATGTGGAATTCAAGAAAGAGCCTGATGGTTGCACCTAACACTTTAAGCAGATCTACATTAAAACTCATTTTCTTTCTTTTGCAGTTCAATTAGTGGGGTTTCAAGTTATATACACAAGTCTCCTTTGGGAATATTACAGCCAAGATGTGGAGGTGGGTAGAGCTACTCAGTTCATTGAGTCTTTCCATTCTTGTAAGACCATTCTCTATTCACGTTGGATATTACATTCTGTGTATTTTAGATGAGATTTAGATTGTGTTTGTCCTGTTTATGCCAGTATTGACTTGCACAAGAAATGGACCAATTGATTTCACCAGCTGACCAGATTGCACATAAATCCTCTATTTTATTGATTTTATGACTATATGTATTTGATTTTATTGGGATTGGTGAAAAAAAATATAGAAAAACTACATAACATGCTCAAATGTATTTGGTTGATGATGTCAACAATTTTTGCCCCATTCAAATCTATTCTTGTCGAACTCAGTAGACCCTCAGTATGCCATAACAATGAAATATGGGTTGTCTGTACTACAGATATTTCAAACAATGCACCATTTATATATAGATTAAAAGTAGGTCATAGCAGCATATGAAATCAAACTTGAAAAAAATTTGTATCTGGGTTATGTATTTTGTAGTAGCAGACAGCAGGGAAAGTTGAGATGTTCTTCAATTTTGTATGAGTAGCTGAGCAATATGGATTTTTTTGGTAAACTGTAGGAAAATGAGCATTTTATCTCAACGAGTGGGCATCGTTACTAAAAGCATCCTGCTTTTGATACATACACATTCACCTTTAAGGTTTGAATTTAAGAGCATGCCTTTAAACCTTTTATTAATTTTCTTTCAGGAAAACCGATGAGGTTAACATATTTTGTAGCACCCTATGACCTTTTAGATGGGAAAGCCAAGAAATCATTGCCAATGACTGTAGAAGGTATTTATTTATTTATTTATTTTTCATAATGAACTTCTTGTGTAATATGTTTTAATTATTAGAATTAAATAAGTGATAACAATTCTTGGTGGTTCAGTTGGTTTCTCTCCTTATTTAATAAATGATTGTGAAATAAATAATCTTTATCAAGGCAGGCTTTTATCTTGGTGTAATATGGATAAACACCATTGCTTCCACTGTAGAAGATGATAATATATGATAGAATGACCCCCCCGCTTGTGTACTTTTAAACAGTAACAAGGTTTGACAACTAATTGGTTTCAGCCAATTTTCTTTCAGCCTATGATTGTGATCAGGCATGTGAATATTGTTGTTAAAGCATAAATATATTTCATGTTCTTTGAAATCTGATCAGGTTATATATAATGCTGCTATTCATTCATTCATTCATTCATTCATTCATCAGCTATCACTGAGAATAACCTGGGTCATAATGCGGAGGTGTGTATATCACCCAGCAGTGGACACAAACTCCAGACCATGCCACTGATGACCATCAATAAGACAGAGGGGAAAAGGTGAGTGACCACATTGACCCTCCTAAACCGGCCATCCATCCAGCCCATCTCTCTCTCTCTCTCTCTCTCTCTCTCTCCTGATTAAAAGAAAATATTCATTTTAATTCTATAAAAGCAGGAGATAACTTGCTATTGATTTATGTCAGCATTATAGGCAAGTCTTTTCATGGAGGTCACAAAACATATAATAGTGAGTTTGTAGATTAGTATTAAACACGAGTCAAATATTGGAAACGCTGCACTTCACTCATTTAAATGTATAATGTTGACATTTCAGCCTTCCACACTTTGCGGCACAAACCAGTTTGAACAGTGTCACACTTCCAGCACAATTTATTCTGAAACTTGGCAAGCCTATCCCAGTGGCTGTCAGTATATTGATGAAAATACAGCAAACTACAGGTGTGTGTGTGTGTGTGTGTGTGTGTGTGTGTGTGTGTGTGTGTGTGTGTTGATTATTTTTTGTAGTCCAATTTGAAATAATCATTCTCACATGGTCTTAATATTTGAAAGTCATATTTAAGTCATTATGAATAATATAATGTATATTTCAAAAAGAAACATCAAATAATTTGCTCCACTGTCTCCAGGTATCCAGTTTGTGAACATGTCCCAAGCACAACCATTGGTGAATCTTCTCATACAGGAGGTGTATGGTACCAAGATGGACACACCCAGGAAAGGAATTTCTGTGGTAAGTTTTTTTTTTCTTTGTTTTTTTTTCTGCTGTATCTAATTGAAATTCTTACAAATGGGATTAACATCTACACTGTACAATATATTGTGTTTTCAAGACCGGAAACAGAAATGCATGTAACAGGGGCCTTTTCATGTAACAGGTGTGTTTTAAACATTGTGTGATTTGTGGTGATTTTCCAACTGTTTTTCTCAATTTTTGTGAAAGTTTGATTTTTTTATGTGAGATTTTTTCTGCTTAATGAGATCACTAAATATAAAATGCACTAATTGACATTTACAGGAGTATGTTTAACCCATTTAAAAGAAAGGCCAAGGTCATAGCAAGGCAGCATTCAGTTCATTATTGAATGATTTATATTTTGAAAAATACCAACATGTATTATTTGCAATCTCTCCCTAGAGTAGTTGCTGTGGCCTCAACCTTAAATTTTTAAAAAATATGATAAACAAGGAAATTTTTGTTTATATAACAACATTTGAAAATTGCTCTTCTTCTCATTCTCTGTGATTTAATCTTTGCAACTTGCTTTTTATTTGCGTCTTCACTGACAATCTCCTCTTGCAGAAGTTACCAGGGCAGCAGCATACATATGTGATAAACGATGGCAGCGCGGAGGATATGATGGGCATCGTAGTCGATCAAATCCCCTTCACCCTTCCAACCAATGTCCCCAGCATTCTACAGAGCCTCAGACAGCAACTTCTGTTTAATACTCTCATTGCTAGCTGTGTGAGAGGAAAGAGTGTAGAGGGTAAGTTTGTTGAGTATGTGCCAATGTATGATTTGATGCCTGCTTACCAAGAAGTGTGTGGAGAAAGTTGTAGAAGGTAGGTTTGTCTTTAGAAGAATGGAGAAGTTAGGTATGTCGTGAAGACAAGATGGAGATTGGGTAGGTTTGTCATGGGGAAAAGATGGAAAATTAGTTTTGTCATGGGGAAAAAATGAAAATATGGAAAAGATTGTTTGTCATGGGGAAATACAAAGATGGTAGGTTTGTTGTTGGGAAAAGATGGAGATGGTAGGTTTTGCATGGGAGATAGATGGAGAAATTGGGTTTGTCATGGGAAAAAGATGAAGAATTCAGGTTTTTGTGAAAGAAAATATGGAGAAGGTATGTTTCTCATGGGGAGAAGATGAAGATGGTAGGGTTGTTGTTTGGAAAAGATGGATATAGTAGGTGTAATTTCAGGTACATAACATTCTCTGATATTTGAAATGATGTCAGCACGATGACAATGTATCACAATACAGTACTGCTATCGCAATTTCAGGTGCATCACAACACTGATATTTGAAATGATGTCAGTACCATGACATTTTGTTACAATACAATACTGTTATTGCTATTTCAGGTACATCACATTCACTGGTATTTGAAGTGACACCAGTATCCCTACAGTATATAACTGTTGCATTTGAACATCCACTCCATACTTCCATGGCAACAGGTATGGTATATTATCAGAAAATTGGTTGAAATTATTACTCATATTTAGTTCCATTGTAACTTTTTCTGAAATGTACATGCATTATATAAACTAAGAAAACAAAAGATTTATGAAGGAAATTAGTTTTTAGTGCTATGTAACCAAAGAGGGTATATAAGATTGGTTATAATTTTTTCTTGCAGAAATAACAGTAACTTGTTTTCTTGAATTATGAAGAAACATGCTCAGACATTTCTTTAAATTTTAGAAATTATGTGAATATTTCCGTCATTCAAATTTGCTCCAATATTCAACCATGTATGATGAAATATGCTTGAATATCTTCTTCCATACTGTTCATTTACATTTGCTCGTATTTTGTTTTCAGCGGAGCTAGACTTGAGTGATGTCACTACTGTGAAATGTAAGCTGTACACATTGTCAGGAGATGAGACAATTTGCTCTGATGACTACGTGTGCAGAGTGATTCAAAGGTAACTTGGGTATCGGACCATAGATGTCAGCACTGGAATTTTTTTCTATTCCCACATAAGCTTAGTGTTGCTTTACACAAAAAGTGTTCATTAATGAATATATGTGTCTTTCATGGCATATGAGTTTGTTTCTTTTGCTCTTTTTATTAGCACTTACAACGTGTCCGCATGAAACATTGTGTGTGTAGATTTTTTTGTAAGAAATTGACAAATTTCATTTTCCATTTTATTTTGTCAGGGAACCATCTGAGACAGCATCATGATTCAGTAGTAACTGCAATATTTAATTTTTATTTATTATTGTGTATTCATTTACTTACTTTTGTTACTATTTGATATGTGTTTTTCTCCATTCCAGGTGCTTATCCATCCCTGTGACAATGCGTGCCATAATTCGCAAGGTGTCCAGTCAAATAGAAAAGTTGCGCCCACCACCTGCAGCTCAGCCAACGGCAAACATGCAAAACTTATTAGCCAAACAAATTATGGACAAGAGACTCAGTTATTTTGAGGCAACAATACGAAATCCATTACTTTTAAATGAGTTGAAAATGAATGAATTTTCCACAAGGGAGAATATCATTGGCCCCTTCACTCCTGGTTTGATGCCAAATCATCCAATCGGATCGCAGGGGCCAACGAGCATGTACAGGTTTCCCAATGTGATGGCAGGGGGGCCTCAGTACGGTAACCATTACGATGGTGGTGGACATGGTCAGTCGGGTCTAGTCACACCTGAAATGGAAAGTCTAGAAGAGAAACGGGAACGGGTAAATAAGAATCCCATGCTGGCTAGTCTTCTTGATCAGGACACTCCAAGTCCTGACCCACAAATTCAACAACAGCAAGTGCAACAGCAGCAACAGCAGAACTCTATCTTGTCTAGCTTACTTGGAGATCAGCCCCCCACCCCCATGGCAGCACCTACAAAGCAAAGAAAAAAGCGCATGAGACGTTCAACATCCACGACCGACGGCGGTCGAAGTCCAGGAAGCAGCACAGGCAAAAGTCCCAAACGCAAAGTCAGCGAGGCTGAAGAATTTGAAAATCGGCTGAAGGAAATGGAAGTTGACCAGTCAGCGGGAGACCCATTTGATTCTTCAGTTGGAAGTAGTATCAGCAATCCTGCGTTAACAAGTTCCCAAGTTTATGGGGATCAGGTGGATCCGTTCAGTGTCCCAGTGGAATCCCAGATTGATAAGCTGAAAAACAGTGTCGATAACTTTATCAAAAAGGAGTCCAAATCCATCAATTCCTGTCAGGGGTCGTCTGAGTTGTCAATGTTGCTCAGTGATATTGAGACTGACACTCAGGTAGGGGGCAGCATGATCAGGCGACCTAGCTCCGGAGATGCCAGACCGGGTAGTGCACATAGTCTTGCGCGAAGCACCAGTGGTGCCAGTGTTGAAGAAATTCTCACGAATCGTACGACTCCATTAGATCCAGATGCATTTCAGGGTAAAGATGGAGGAACATTCACACCAACACAGTTTCTAGGGGAGCCTGGTAAAGTAAGCAGGAAATTCAGCAAAGGCTCTACAGAGTCAATGGAGTTTAATGCAGATCTTTTAAATCCAGATTCAAGTTTTGCTGACAGTTTGATAGAGAATGCAACTGATGAGATGGATCTGGACACTTGTGATGCTAATGCCTTTGGTGTGGGGTTTAACCCAGTAGCCATCATGGCTTCCAAGATGGCTGCCAAGGTAGAAACTGCTGACTCTCAGCAGGGGAATGGTGCTAGTAAAAGTCCAAGCAGGAAAACGCCTGTACAGAGATCCAATTCTCGGACAAATCATAACTTTGAGCGCTCCAACTCCCTTGAGGAGAAACCTGTGGAAACATCAAATACCCCTAATAAAAGCCTGGTTATGTCACTAAAACAGTCAGAACTACAATCCAAGGTAGACTCACCACAAGAAGCCCTGGATTTATCCAAATCTTCAAAAGATTTCACTATGAACGATGAGACACCGGGGTTAAAAAATGACCTTGGGCCATCCCCGTTAGACCTGACCGCGGACATAGAAGTGGCCAAAATAACCGGGTCAGGTGGAGAGATGGCCGCAAGTAAGGGCATGGAACTGGTCAGTCCTCTCAAAATCCCAGCATTTGCAGTCAGCCAAAGAACAGGAACAGGTGCGAAAAAGGAAAGGACTTTGTCAAATAAAAGTGGTAAGATTCCAAAAGATGCCAAAAGGCGGAACAGTGATCGGGAGGGTGGGAAACGTAAGAAGGAGGATTCAGGAAAAGAGAAAACTGGCAAACGCAGAAAGACCATTTCGAGTATCGAAGGTCATCCTCAGGGGGATCAGATTTACAGCATTGAGCAGGCAAAGAAGCCAACTGCAATTAAAATCACAACCAGTAAGCTGAAAAGTGTAAAGCCGTCAGTAGATGGCAGTACTAATAAGATGGACTTATCCAAAGCATCAGTGTCTGCCAAACCAAAAGTAACAGTCATACCTCCAATGAGCTCAAAGAAACCAGAATCTGGTCAAAAAGGCATGATGTCACCTCCTGTTGTGAACAAATCTGGCCAACCAGTCATGTCGGGTAAGACGCCAACCACACCTTCCCCCACGCATAAGCTTCTGTCATCAAAGATATCCCCCACACAATTTGGGAAGTCACCAACCATAGGAAGGAATTCACCATCTTTAAAAAACTTATCCGGGAAGGCCTCCCCAATGTCACGATCGCCTAGTGTTGGTGGTAAAAGTAGGAAAGCTAATAATCAAGTGACTGTAAGTAAGCAGGACTCAAAACTTATGAACAAGACCCCGACTATTAAACTTAAACCTATTGCCCTTCCTGCCAACCAACCCCCAGGCACAGGAACAACAACATCATCTGCCTCCCCTGGAGCAACTGGGAAGCAGCCATTCACTCCCACAACACCAACAACGCCTGGGAAAATCAAGGCACGGAAGAAGTCACTCTCAGCAGTTATTGACAACCTTACAAAGCAAAGCAATTCTGTAGTTCTTCCGCAGACTGCAGAGCCCGGTGTTGAGAAGAAAGAAGAGGAGAAGAAAAAGGATGACAAAACTGGTTTGGATGTCTTGAAACCAGACACAACTGGTTTCTTGTCTAGTTACAAAATTCCCAAAAAGGTAAAGTCGGAAACGCCTGTGACTACCTCGAGTGCTGTGACAGCCTCTCAGGACAAACCATCCAGTACTGAGAGAATGAACGTTGAATTGAAATCTGCTGACAGAAATACCTCTGATTCGACAAGCAAAACCAAAAGTGAAAAAGTTTTAAATGCAGGCAACCCAAGTACTAAACCTGTTAATATTACCTCCAGTCCAGGAAGAGCTCCACTCCCTCCCAGTCGTGTAGGTGGCAGCACATCCTCATCGCCCAGAACATTCAAACCAAATTTTGGAACAAGTGGGGCACCTTATAGCACAAACAATGTAAATAGTTCTAAAAACAATGGAGATGAAATAAATAATAGGACAAGCATTGGGGCTAAAACCAACCCTGTCTCAACTGGGGCAGCCACAAGATTAGACTTTACAAAGCCACCAGCAAGCCCACCTCCATCCGAAACTCTGACTCAAAAACCGCAAAAAGAAATTCCATTGAAAAGCATTAGTGAGAAAGACAGTGTGGAAAAGACTCATGTATCTGACTCTGCAGCTAAATCTCTCCAGTCCAAAAACGTGAATGGCTTGAATAACAATAATAATAATAATGGAAAAACTGGCAATGGTGCTTCCCTAAAGAGTGGAGTAGAAAAAAGGCGAGGTCTGTTTGATTCTATAGGATTCGAACCCAAAACTGAATCTACAGATAAGGGAAAAGACTCGGAGAACAGGGTAAATTCAATAGGTGGGTTTACATCTGAAAAGCAAGATTCAAAACAGCAATCCAGCTATGATGGAATAAGTAACCAATCGACATCAAGTTTTGACATGACTTTGAACTCTCAAAAATTGGGGTCATCTCCAAGAGTCTCTTCTTCATCATCATCATCATCTTCGTCTTCATCACAAACAAGTAGTAGTAATCTTAGAAGCAATCATGTTGTTGGAAATGACAGCACAAATAGTCCCACTTCAACCAGTACTGTCAGGCCTCAACAAAGTGACAAAGACACTGATAACATTTTTAAAGCTCCGACTCCAAAACCTCCCGAGTCCCCAAGTCCTGCTGGCACAGTGTTAGAAAATAATAAAAGAGACGATGGGTCACCTGCACCCAAACGCATAAGAATCGAGTCTCAAAAACCAGTCTTAAGCCCAAGAAGTGACGCTAGTAGTCCTGATAACCTGATTATCGACTATCCATCAACGCCAAAGTCTTCTCAGCAAACTGGCGCTGTCAGATCCCCTACAGCGAAACTCGGTAGTGAGTCCCCTGCTATTGGGGCTATCCCACAATCCCCTGCAGAGGAGGCAGCCATGCATTCTCCCGCTGCCGTAACCTTGAAATCACCAGCTCCAGCAATGCCCATCAAGTCTCCGTTGCCACATGCTCCTTCGCCTTCTCCATCAGCCAATAATAAATCGAGTTCTGCCAGTAGGGGAACGTCACCAGGCGATACAGCTTGTGATCTGGATGATGACTTGATGGATGCAGCATTAATGAACTAAAAGGTGCTCCTTATCAGAATCGTGAAGCTTCAACAAAATGAGGGATGAAAACCAAGCTTGTAGGTACCAAGTGACTGTCTATTCAACCAGGCTTTGTTATAATCAACAGGTGAAAAACCATGAAGTACCAAGAGAGTGTAAGGTCAACCAGGTGATGTAAGTGGACCTTTTCAAGACCAGTCTTTGCATCAGTATATCCAAAGGCCCTGAAAAGAACACATAATCAGGACTCGCATCACTCTTCAATGAAATGCGTGCAAAATGTATTGCAACCCAACACCACCATTTAGGGCTGAGACCTGAGGGAATAGTTTGGCTTGATGTGGTAACCAATCAAATAGGATGCTGAGCACCATGGAGCAACCACACTTGGTGTACTTGGTGCTGTTAGATCTTTCAAACCAAGATGGCTGGAAGATGTTTCAAAGACGGTCGTTTAGGAAGGGAATGGTTCATGATGAAATGACAAACTAAAGAAGCAAGTTTGCTTTAACCACTTCCGAATATCACCGTTGTTCCTGGTAAAGAGAGGTCATAGCAACAGCATTTTTTAATTTTTTTATTATTTTTTAATTTTTTTTAAATAAAATATATACAATGCACATGTAAATCACAGACATCAAGGTGGCTAGTTCTAATTATTTTTAGAATTAAAACTAATGTAAGGATGCCAAAGTGAGCATAGGACTAAGGACATTTGGAGTGTATGGTTTGCATTCAGTGGTTAGTAAGAGATGTAATTAAGAGATTATTTCAGTGATTTGACAAGTTTTAAAAGATGTTTGCCACAATGCACCACTTTTGACACAGTGATCTCGTCACTGTGTAGTGGAACGATGCATTTTACCTGCTAGTGCATATCCAAGGAGTGTAGAAGTCGACCAAAGGAGCAGGATAGCATAGTAACCAAAACTTGTGTAACTTTTAACCAAGCTGAACACTTGAACACAGATGAAGTATTCAAGAAATTCAGTTGTACTGTGTTTTTTTTTTTTTTTTTTTTTTTTTTTTTTTTTTTTTTTTTTTTTTCACTCTGCAGATTAAATTAAGAAGTTTGGATTTCATAATAGGTTGGGACACATGGTGTGGTGTTGGTGGGTGGACATGTACCTGTCACAGCTGAGACCGAAGGCAAATGTGTTAAGAAGCATTTTTATCTCAGATGAAATGCACTGTCCTTGTAGTGACCAGAAATAATAAGGATTTGACAAGTGAACTGAAATCAGAAATTAGTGCCGAGTTATATGAGCACAACAACAAGATTTGGCTTCAGGTTGGAGTAAGTAGAAAGTTACCATCTTAAGCTAGTTTGACCTTAGATGGTTTAAGATTTGTAATTGGAATTTGTGCCGAAATGATGCCAAAACAATAACAGAAACCTTAAAGTGGAAAGATATCAGTAAATTAAGTGATGTATACAGTCAACTTCTACTTAATCAACAACATTTGGTGTTTAGGATAAACAAAAACAAATTAGTGAATGAAGTGTAAATGTGTTTATAATCAGTGAAGAAGGCAGTGCTTGCATTGGTCATGAGGGCATAAATATGAAATCTGAAAATGTTTGCCTTATGGACCCCCCCCCCCCCCCCCCACACACACACACACACACACATAGGTAAAAAGGCTTCAGTACTCCCAACTTTTTCATTTACACTGAATCCAGCATTTGCAAGATTTCTCTCACATGCACTTTTCTTGAACTCGGATTACTTTGGTTGGTTTCCTAGAGCTATAGTTTGTTCTGTCATGGCCTTGGCTTGACTTGGTTCCTGTAAGCTGACTAATGTGGTGGCAATTGCCATTGACAGATAAAGCCTTAGGCTTGATGCTAGTGTCTAGCGTGGGGGAAAAGTTGTGCATGAAATAAGGATGAAATATCAGGCAATTTTATGTGGAACAATAGGACTTGGCAGTTGGGTTATAAATTGGAAGGACTTGTAGAGTGTCTTAGCAAAAAAAGTGATTTAGTTTGAGGGAAATTCAGTTAGAGCAATGAATGCTGGATAAATATTCCCTTTTTTAACTTAGGGTCATTTTTGATGGAACAGCCTGTTAAATAAAACTGCAATAGCACTACGTAAGTAACTTTATCAAATGTTTTTGACAGTCTTGGCTAGAGCAGGAATCATTATGGAATATTTTGTGTGATTATGGGATATGTTTTCACACCAACACAACACGTCTCACCAAATACATTTTTATTTTGCAAAGGTAAAAATATGTAAAGGTAAAGCAAGTAAACCCAGCTTTAACATTTAGCACGAACTGTCTGCACTCTGCAGCATTCTTGGGAAATTAAGAAATTATGTATTGTGCAATTTTAACATAATTCCCAAATTAAGAAAGCTTTTAAGCATCCCGATTCTCAAAGAATATTGTGAACCACATGAATACCCCAAGTTTCGAAAAAACTGTATGTGATTCATCTTACATAATAATATGAAGTTCTTGTTCCTTTGAATATTATAAACGACATCTGCTTCAACTAAAAAAAAAAAAAAAACTGTTATTACCAGGTGTAACTGTCTTATTAAGGGAAGCCCATAGCAGCCTTGGCTATTGTACAATTCAGTCCTTGCTATGAGGTTTAAGGTTTTTTAGTTCTGATGCCAAAATGACTTATTCTTATTTCAGAACCAAAATGGGAAATTTTAAATTTGTAAAAGTGGGAGTTGAAAGGAAAATGTTGTAAATCATGTGAAAAAGACTGCCCCTTTATTATTATTATTATTATTATTATTATTATTATTATTATTATTTGTCTGTTTCTCTTTCATATTTTTATTTGATTATTTACATAAGATGGGTACCCTGTACGATAAGTTCTATTAACACTTCTGAATATCTACATCCTATTCAGTGTATCGATTACAAATTGTGGAATGTTGTATAAATCATAAAGTAACAGGCATTGTTAATCAATTTCATATGACATCACACCTTAGATTAATCTTGATTCAGAGTCAGTCATTCTTAAGCATACAAGTGTGTGAGGCATGACACAGCAGAACTAATCATAATTTCAGTGTGTTTCAGAGAAGAATCATCAGTCTGTTAAGGCAAATAGTATCTTTGCTGCTCTTGTGAGATCATGCTTACAACGTTATACAAGGCTACTCGAATATGGGACTGCAGCAGTCATTTGTGGCCTGGAAAATCGGCCAGTAACAATTGGGTAGAAAGCAATTTGTAGTGTATTAACCCAAAGTATGCAAGGTGGGCGAATGTGATATACATGACATTCTGTTTGTTGTGATTGTGTTAGCAAATATTGTATATTTGACAGAGCAATGCATGTACCATGTAACTGAAATTACAGTTTCAGTCATTTCTAGAATTTTTTTTTAGATAGTTAATGTAAACTAATTTTTCTATTTCATTGTGATACGTCAAGAATCAGGCAATCCAAGAAATATCCAAAATCAGCATGTTCATGTTTGTGGGTATTTGGCAACTGGTGTGCCGATACTTGAAAGTCTTCTGACCCGCAACCCTTCTTTGGACATGTCCACATCATGAGAATTGGCAAATCTAGTCCAATAGACACTGCCACCTTAGTCTGTATAACAACATTTAACGCATAAAAATTTTTAATTAAAAAATTTTGGAAATTTCTGTGGGTTGACTCAGTATGTTCAACTGTATATTAAGTGTCTTTGCACAAATTAATGTAACAATTAACCTAAATGCATGTGATTTTGTATACTATTCATAATTGTTCCTCAAGTAAAATTATGTGCACCCAGTGATTGTGTGTGTTAATGTATAGGTAAATACTATAGTACAGGGGATGTGCATTATTTATGGCTAGGAGTGCATAATATTGAAATGACCTTGACCCAGAAAATCACCCTTAGGTTCAGAGTGCTTGGGTTGTGACCTTGACCCAGTTAATCACCCTGATGTTCAGAGTGCTGGGGGTAAATGTCTTTCACCCAGAATCACCCTGAGGTTCAGAGTGCTGGCGGTAAATGACCTTAACCCAGCAGGTGCTCTGTGCTACTTTGCAGTGATATACCTATGCTGATAATAAATGTGGGATTTAAAAATACTCTGAAACTCCGGGTCCTGCTGTCAGTTTGTTAACTGTCAGTTTGAAGGGGACTTGTCACCTGAATGTATAGTATTCACAGTGGAGACCTAATGAGGAAAACTACCTGGAAGATGCTACCTTATGGACTTTAACCCTTACAATTAAATAGCTTAAATTGTTATTGTGATGTAATGTCTTCATGATTGGGAATTGGAGGGAGTTTGCATAATTCTTCTTCAGCTTTTTTATCATAAACTTGTGTGTCGACATCTGTACTTCTACCTAGCATGTGTAAGTTTGATATAAGAAAACTTTTGTATCACAAGATCCTTATAATTCACCGGTATCAGTGGAGTTAATTAAGATGTGGTTAATTCGTATTTATATGGATCAATATAATGAGTTGCAATATGACTCTGTCAAAGTTCTTTGCAAAATAACTTTCAGCTTTCATGTCGGTAGGGCAACCATGAGGTCATACACTTGTACATATTGCGTAGTACGCATAAACCAATGACGTCACTAGCCCAAGCCGTCTCAAGGTTGAGATATAATGTTAGAATGTAATTGTTAATTGTTAGCATTGCCAATCGACCCGAAGGTCTAAAGATTGGAATTTATCGGTAATTAATTAATTAATTAATTATGTTTCTGTTGAGTAATTCATTAAAGTCTACCTATGTGTATGTGGTAGGTAGTATTTTTACCTCTTTTACCTATTTTGTCTATTATGTCAGTCTCGAATAAAAGACGTAATGGTTGGTTGTCATAGAAACTAAACAGTCGTTCGACTTTTGTTTTTGTGTGGAATGGTGTAAACACATTATCTTGGGACAGGTTTTGTTTTACCATTAAACAGGCGTAAATGGATTTTAAAAACAGAAATCATAATACAGAATTCAAAGCTGTAAAAACGCTTATATTCTAAACCCTTTCAAGTAACCCAACATTCGAACCATTTTCTAAGAAATCAATATCCCAGAGCCAAGCAAGTGCTTAAACACGAGGGATAAACTAGAAATGATGTCCATTTGGCCACATTATTTTGCAGTGCTCTCAGTCGTTTAATTAAACCCTGGAAGTCATATATCTACTGATTGGAATTCAAGTACCAATTTCGGGTATCAATGAGTTATCGGAGAACGTAAAAATTACGTGGTAGGGGTACGCCTTTGTTGATTGACTGTATTGTGGACCTATTTTAGAGGGGTCACTTTTGCCCAAGTGCCGTACGTCAAGACCCTTATAGTGCGCCTGCCCCACTTGCATAAGTACGATTTTTATGGTATCCGTACGAATCATTTCTTTTTATAACATAAAACACGAATTTTGCAGGAAAAAAACAACACTCAAGACAGCAAAAAAAAAAAAAAGTAGAAATAAAAAAGAATTAATTGGAAATTAGTGTTTTCATTCCTGTCACTGCCTATTTCTCTCTCTCTCTCTCTCTCTCTCTCTCTCTCTCTCTCTCTGCCTCAAACGACCAATTTCTAGGTAATGCAAAAACCAATCTCTGTTCTCTGTTCTTGCTCACGCTGGCATCTCGTAGTCCAAAGCAATCGGCCTAATCGACATTTGTAATCAAAATGCATCTGCACATTATTACACAACTAATTCTGGATTGAGTATAAAAAACCAGATAATGGTCTGCTGACAGCGTCAAAGTCCCAATGAGAACTAAGATCGAATGAACACGGTCCATTAGAGCCTGACACGTTCAGAAGCTAATTCGCCTAAGCGCGTTACTATCCACACGACAAGTGTGGAATCATTAAATGAAGCTGGAAAAGCTCAAAATCGATTGGACTCTTCTTAATTTTGATCAGGGGCCTATAGTCAAATAAATTACGAATGTTTGCACTATTAAATGGGAATTGGGAATAATCCGCACGCCCTTGCGCAAGCTTTGCGCACGTATTCTTGCCTATGTATCCTTGAAACTACTCGACTTTTATTTAAAATAATAATTTTTCAGGTAATATTCTTAATTTCTGATTGTATGAATCGGGCTTTCGACTTGATGGTGTGTATTGATTTAACGATAAATTGGGTTTTCTTTAAAAACTTAAACTCCGCACAAGAGATTCCTCACAATACGCGCATTCGGTATATAAGGAGCAGCATCGCATCCTCGCAGGACATAATTTTCTAGAGGAAGCTAGGAGTTTAAGTTTAGAGCATTTCACACAGTGGCGTCGCTTGTGTTATACATTTACAGTTAGACGTCACTTAAAGAAGAAAGATGCAGAAGAAGGTTGCTGGTGTGCTCTTTGTAATAGCGGCGTTTGGCGTGTTAAAACTGGATGCCGCTGCGAAACTTCCGTGGCAAGGTAAGCTTAATTTGTTGCCTTATGTACATAGTTGCGCACTGACAAAGACGTAGACCTGGGCCGGGTTGATTTGAGTCAAAATGACATCACCATACTACATAGGAAATCATATCAGTTTAGACTCATAAAGGAACCGAATCTGACCGCGCTTTTAACAGCCACAAGTAAGTTGGGCGGCGTCAAGCTGTGTACTCAAAAGCAACGATGTCACCAATGGCACGTTATTCTCTGAAAATACGGTAGAAGAAATAGCCCGACGTGTTAAAACATAGGTGTTGCTTTAAAAAGGCCATTGACTCCGAGCAATTAATCAAGGGCCATTTATTCGGCTAGTGGCTTTTCTATTGAGATCTATGCAGCTTTTCTTCACAAGAATCCCATTAGTGCATTTTATGAAGACGGGCGACGGAGAGGGCATTTGTACTGCCAGACTGAAAGGCAGGGAGAAAAAAATAGCATCAAGAGTTAGGCGGACGGGAAAACGGGTCTTTCAATCAAGACAGACAAAAATCAGATAGTTTAAAGATTTACTGATAGACGGACGCCTGCAGTAGGCCAGGCAGGCAGACTAACAGACAGACAAACAGGCAAATTAACTGACACACAAGCAGACAGTTAATTTTTTTTCTTATAGCTTTTTCAGTTAGAAGACTACAAGCCCACCTTTTTATTTTCATTTTGTCAGATAGCACGTTAAATTTTACATGGATATAGGAACGCGCTTTTTAAGCGAGCAAGACTCAGTTCATTAGAACTGTCGCACCTCCCACTTCATCAACATGCGATTTAGTAAAATATATTACAGCATAACTTGTTATAAACTTACTTTTTTGTTGAGGATAGGTTTGCTTAACTTGGCAAATACATGCATACAATAGTAGACGAAAGAGATTTAACAATAATGGGTAGACCATAAGGATGTAAAAGAAAAAGAGCGCATTCAGAACATGTTGATCCGCGGACTAAACATGGCGGACCTACTTAAAAACGATGCCGCTAATTGCCTGATGGTCTCCCGGCCTCCACAAGTGCCATTAAATATTTTAAATCTCGGCTCCGAGGTTTAATTGCTAGGCCCCTGCAGCGACGGCCATTTTTAGTCGGCACATCAGTTAGTTCGCGGATCATCTCTTCCGAATGTGCTCAAGGTTGCTTGGTTTTGTTTGTTAGTTTGTGTCAGGGTGACCTGTTACTTTTTTATTATCATTTTGTTGGGGGGAGGGGATAAGAGGATCCTCGGAAAATGAAGGAAGGTGATAAAGCTCACTTTGTTTTTTCTTGACCCGACACTGATTTTACCACAGAGTAAAAATAACTATTTACAGTGTACAAGCGAACCTCTTCTGGTTACACGACAAGAGAGGAGGCGGCGATCTTAAAGCGACACAACGAGATGAGAAGAAGCGTTAGTCCGTCAGCTTCAAACATGAGATCTATGGTGAGTTCTGTTAATCTGTTTTACAAGTACCGTCTAGACCGATGGGCATAGACTTAAATATAAATTGATGACATTAGCGACGCTGGTTGAATACCGGTGTTACGCAGGCGTACTGTAGACTCTACTAACTAGAGCATACGTCACTTCCGTCCTAGTAGCAAACTTCGAGATGCACCGTTGCCAATAAATGAATTAAGTCGTTTTTTTAAGGTGATTTTACCCTGACTCCTAAATGTTTGAAAGGGTATACGCTACGAAACATTGGCAGATCTGGAGCTCCTTTTACAGAGGGGCTGTGCTTATTTCTCGAAGCTAATGTACATATCAGGGGCAGACCCAGAGATATTGTCTGACAGTCTTCCAAATCTTTGTTAACCTATTCTCCATTTTTGGCCGTCCTCCGATAGAATAAAACTAGGTACTCTTCAATGTAAACTGGAAAATCTGACCGTCTTCCAGAAGACCCAGAAAACGGCCTAAATCCGCCCCTGCATGTCTCTTTACCTGCCGCTGGGGAAGAGTTGCTCCTCTTGCCGTCATATTCATCAATCTAAGACATGTACCAACTGACAATTTTAGGAAGTTTGTTGCTAAAGTTATTATATGCGATGTTTCATTTTATTTCCGTTTGTAATGCAGAATCAATATGAAAACTATCCGCATCGGAGCTTTTCTACCTCCAGCTTACGGGCGTGACGTCATTTCCTATATACGTCATACAGGAACCAGGAGGCACTACACAGCAACGGTTAGTTATGTTTTGGCCGATCTGCGTTCATATTACTTTGAAATGCAGTTTGTCTTTGGATAACGTGCTCTCAGATGCAACTGAATCTTGCAATGGATAAACTTCACGCTTTTCTCGGATTATCTAATGATCCCTATTACAATGTACATTCCGTTTTGCCTTATCACTTTACGCCTATGTGCATATAAAGCCTACTGTACGCGAATAATTTGATGAGATATTGTGAGAACCATAACAATAACATATTGTGTTTTCTGCAAAAAAACAAAATTATATTAATTCGAAGATATATTATAAGGGATGTTTGCGCCAAATTTTTTTCCGAGAAAAAAAGAAATTTTCTTCCATTACAGATAATGGCTCGACCCGTCCCCGCATTTAGATTCCTTCTGTCTTGCACCAATTCTAATTACATAACTTACATGTAGTCCTGTAGTCCATGGCATTAAAATCTCAAACTTCTGAAGGAAAAATCGACATCGGGTAAGCTTCAGATTAACTTTTGGTGGGATTTATGGGTTTTAGATTTAAACATAAGTAGCTTTGCAAGACAATAAGGCATAGAAATATGACCTTGTATATAACTTTTGTGTAAACGCATACTTTATTGTCACTTGTTATTTATTTTAAAAAATCATTAGAGAAACATCGCACTGTCAACGAGAACGCGTTTTTTTCTTTTGATGATATAAAAAGATAATCTTTCAAAAAGGTGAAAGAACCGCCCGTTTTCTTTACGTCTTTGGGGATTTAACATTGATCATAAGAGCTCGTGACATGATTTTTTAGAACTGCATTTACCATGAATGATGCTCATCTTTATCTTCTTAATCAAAAGTAAACTATAGATTTTATCTGTATATATCCACCATGATGCTGTACATTCGTGGATAACGTCTGCAATAAAACCAATTCTTATGATGAGCATTATGCCCGAACCTTGTGAAACCGTCTGAGAAGCGATTGGCATTTATTATGATTCGTTTAAGCACAAGGAACTTTATTGGAATAAACGGGCGCAGTGGCGGATTTAAAGGGGAGGGGGGAGGGGTCAGGGGGGTCCTTCGGTTTCTGAAAAATATATCACACCAATATTCCTCTCTTGAAATTAGATTTTTGGCTAGCTAAAATATAGTTATAAACCGCACAGAGGGAACCGTTTGCCCTCCAAAACACCAAAAATTTTTTGCGGGGCCCTTGAGCTGACTCCGAACCCCACGCCAAGGGGGCGATGGTCGGCTTCGCATCCGAGGCCTGTCGTTGTGGACCCCCCTTCAAAAAATCCTGGACCCCCCCTGGGGTGGGTGGGTGGATAGGTGGGTGGAAGGCTGAGTGCCATAGCATGGGTGGTGGGGTAAGGACGGAAGGGTTTTCTGCTATTCTAGTCTTGTACGAAGTTTAAAAATCCCCAGTATCATATAATACCATATTCACTTAAAAGGTAAATATTTTGTGCTGTTGTTTCATCCCACAAAAGTCTAGGGGTCGCTGGGGTTATTCCTTCAGTGGAGGTCCGCTTCGAATTTACGAGTACGTTTCTGTTCGTGTGCGACGTGTGATGAAATAGTCAATCCTTCAGAAGCCCCCCCCCCCCCACCCCCCCTCTGAATTCCAGTTATCACCAGTTATCGTCTCACAGTTCAATGTGCTATGACGCATTAACTATACAGAATTACGCTGATACTGGCTCATTCAGACTGGGTTTATCGCTTCTCGACCTGTCTGTATTTGATAAACAGCAATCTTCAAATCAGTTTTGAATTATTGTCTTGGTATGTGCTGAATATGCCCCGATATAAAAACGATTTCTAAGTGATTGGCCGTCAAATGACCTTGTCCAGTGTGTGTCGATTATAACTGTTCTGAGATTAGACTAAATATCCCATTAGGAGTTAAATAATATTGAACATAAAATTGCCGTTTTTTATTACTTGATATTGGATTATTATTATTATTATTATTATCATATTTGTTAAGTTTGGTGGTCTGCTTGGTAAAATTATCTAACTCAGAGGAGTGACTCTTCGGAATTTTCTCTCACGGATGTTAAAAACATCATACGAACTGTTTATTATTTCACAAAAAAAAAAAAAAAAAAAAAAAAAAAGACAGAAAGAAATAGAGAGTGAGAAAAAAATTGATAAATCCTCCTCATGTTTATTCTGCTTTCTTAAGTGGATTGTTCGTCAAATTGCAGACTTATTAAAAAGGGAATTAAGTAAAAAAAATAATAAAACCTCAGACAATTAATTGCATTGCATCCTCACTACACGTCCTTTCTTACTGTTTTGTGTTTGTATAACCGTCAATTAATACCCCTAGCCTTCTCATACTTCGCTGATTTTAATCAACTCCTCGAATCTTGGCTGCGGATTTACGAGGTATTAAAATCAGGGCGCAATGTTTGTTGTAGGATTTCAATTAAGTCCCCAGACGTACTCAGTTGCCTTCTCCGTAGCAATGAACCTGAAGCTTCTCAACGTGTAACGGAAAAACGGGTAAGGCGAAAGGAAACGGGAGGACTGGGATGATATTTTAGCCTTGTTATCATTGTATTTTTTATATTATTTCTTTTTTTTTCTTTAATGTGTGTGCATTGCTAGGTGCTGGAGAAACAAGCCTACGTTGTAAGATCTGTAGATGGCTTCCATATTACCACACATTTTGTTCCCTCAAAAGATCTCCCCTCATGCACCAAAATTTATAGAGTTGGTGTCACCGTCAATAGACTAATAGCATAACTTTCATCTATGTAAAAACTAACCGTGTTCTGATGATTATATTGCATAATTTACACTTACGTATATAGGCCTACACAAAATATTCAGCTATATCATTATATACTTTACTTATGTACTTTTTTGGTCATAGCCTTTGTAAAAAATGTGCTAGAACTAATTAAAATTTTTTATTATCATTTCCGCCATCTTGCGCGAGATTTACTGTTAGATCATCGCAACAGTGACTTTATGTTGTAATTAAACAAACAGATACGCCTGTGAGAATTGTGAAACTAAGCACGCCGACGGCGCCCAGATTTGTTCATCATTAAATTGCCCGCAAACCTGTGATATTAAAAGAGACATCCTAAACCATCAGCACACCTAACCCCGGCAACCTATGCCCATTAGGTAGGAAGTAAGCATCGGACTCCGCAGTGATTTTTCACCCACGTCTATTGAACCGTCAAAGCCCCAGGTTGACATTGCAAACAATCGTGAGTGGCCTTATGAGAAAATCATGGCCTGTGTTTTAATCTATAAATGTATGTAGGTGGCGATAACGAGCTTTATTATGAGTCTTTTAAACAGTATTATTATATCCAGGGGTGTTGACATATTTGAGCCATTTTGCACTTTTGTATGACATGAAACAGTCATGAAGTATTTAAACTGTATATTTCATTGAATAACTATAATAAAATATACAAAGAATTATTACAATGATTGATTTACTTTAAGTATTTTTTTATCCTTTTCTTCATAACGTTTTTGTTTTTATGCTTTCCTATTCATTCTTAATTCATCATCTTATCATCCATATAGATTTTTTTTTGCATATTTACTAATGAAATTGGTTTTTTCTTCGTTTGAATGAAAATTCGTTCTTTTCATTTTAATCACTCCATAATGTTACTGTTTCATTTATTTATTTGTTTATTTATTTATTTATTTATTTATTTCCACAGGTATGGGACAACGACCTGGCCCTGATAGCCAAACGCTGGGCAAACAAATGCGAATGGCGACACGGGAATATAAAACAGGGGACGCCATACGCCAACGACTACCTCGGCCAAAACCTTTACTCCTCCACCCACCCGCCTTCGACCACCGTGGAGCCCATGAACTCTTGGTTTGCAGAGAAGAAGGACTATTCCTATGCCAGAGACACGTGCAAGCCCGGTGAAATATGCGGCCACTATACTCAGGTATGTGCAATCATATGGGAGATTTTTAAATTAAAATTGTACATGTAACTGTTGTACCGAAAATGCCTATTTTTATTTGCTATATTGTAGGCCTATACGGTCTGTAATTAAGGAGGTCCAAAAAGTCTGTGTAATATTTTGTGAAAGAACGAAAAGCCTTTGTCCATGTTTTTTTAGTCATTATTTATTCCCACGCTCTATCTTTCCACGTGGACGTTCATTTTGATCCGAGATGTGATTTCCGTTGTCTGTTTCTCTGGGATATCTTCACAGTCATCCTTGGAAAGCCTAGCCAACAGCTTATGATTATAACTAGTTGAATATGAAACCGCATTCATGGTATTTGTCATTGCCATATCTGGCGTAATAGAAAAATCAGTGAAAAAGTACATCGAACTGAAAAGTTGATGGTTGGGTCTATTGTAGACCTTGTTCAAATGCCTTTTTGCCAATTCAATAGGTTGCAGTGCGTTCGTTCATTTGCGACAATTTCGTTTCTTTTTTTGTCAGAGAACTGTTCTAGCTTTTCCTATGAGAAATCCAAAATGAATATCACACTCAAAACAGTTTCCTCACTCTATCTGCCAAATGTCATAAGTGTCATATATATTGGAATGTTTTCACCCAACCAAAGCGTTCCCCGACCACGAGATGTCCATTATTGTCAATGGCAACGGCTCTCGGATAACGTATCCCATCATCCCTCTGAACCACCATGCACTTGAAATGTCCATCCGCCGTGACGACTTGCACTCTCTGATTTGTGTACTCCGCGATGAAAATGAGACCGAATTTGTCGGTGCAAACGCCAAAGGGACTGTAGAGAACATGCTGTTTCCGGGGAGCGAATGATTTCACCGGTTGTGCCTGGTTCACCTCGCTTCCGTTCACTTTAGGCGCCTCCTCTTTGACAACATTTTTTTGGTCACGTGATTTACCGTTTTGGTGATGCTTCTCGTCGGAATGGGAGTCTTTTCTTTTCTTCCTCCCGAAAAGTCGCTCGCGTAGACTGCTTTGTCTTCTTATATGTTTGGTTTCAACTTTTTCAACATGTTCAGTTGCCGGGTCTGCCTTCATGTGGACCTTGTCTATGACGTGAGCATTTGACGACGTATCTTTATGCATCGAAGCCTCTTTTTCGTCCCCGTCGTGATGTGACGTCATCAGCGTTGCTATGTCAACGCCGTAATTATAAAGGAAGTTGCCCTCGGAGTCGAATACGGTAAGGCAGTCTTTGCCGTAATCAGAGACGATAATGCTGTCAGTGAGGCGATTCACCGTGACGTGGAACGGTTGAACGAATAGTGGCCCCTCGTCTTTGGCACCTGAAACAGATCATAAAGACAATATATTGTCACCCTCCTGTTATCTATATAGGCTTACCTCCCTGGCCTAACTGAAGGTATTTCTGATGTTTAATGGTCACTTAACCCCCCCCCCCACACACACACACACCACCACCACCACCACCGCCACTAAGCACCACCACAAGTACACACACACACACACACACACACACACACTTTCTCTTTCTCTGGCCAAAATTCGTTTCGAAGCTAGATGTATGCATCAGTTCACCTTTAATGACATGCTCCAGTTTGCTCCCGTCTGCTGAATACACGTACACACACTTCACCTGGGAGTCCGTCACTATAATGTTCCCTGGAAAATAAAATATCGAAAATGAGTCACCACGTTGTGATAGGTGAGGACACGTTGAGATGATTCAGAAATGACCCAGTTGGATTGCTACCATTGTGTTGGTTGAGAACTTAAGACCATACTATTTAATACCTTGCCGTCTGTTTTGTGTTCAACTTTGTTGGTAACAGAACTGGGGCAAAAAGATGTGTGAATATAGACAGTTAGGTTGTTCAATAAGGTGTGTGTGTGTGCGTGCGCACCAAGTGTGCACCTTCAGGTTTAAAAATAAAACAGCGCATAGAAAACAACTTAAATTAATCTAAACGTTAAACACCGGCTCACTGCCGCAAAAATGTATAAATAAATAGGCTCCACCCAGTAGTTCCTCTCAAAGCTTGACTCCCAAGATATGTCAAGTGCAAATATACACAAGTTTTAAAAGCTGTGCTTAATTTACAGTACTTATTACAGTTTAAATCATAGCAAAAAAAAAAAAAAAAAAAACTTCATTATGCCTACTTAGTGATATTTCTGACAGCTTTATCTGATAAGTTTTATACGAAGGGTTTATATCGGAAAGGGCTTGATATTGGACAACATTTCCTTAAAAAGACTGAAAGGAAAAAATGAAAAGGTATAGGTTCGCAGTACCTTGACTGTTGACCGCTATTCCTCTTGGGCATTTCAACTCTTGACCATGTATCGTGCTGACCACTTTGCCGTCTGCAGAAAATATTTTCACGCATGCGTCGTGGGGCTCCGTGACGGCAAAATTTCCACAAGGCAGGGCCGCCACGTCCCAGGGGGTGAAGAGCTCGTCTGAACAAAGCCCCGGGGTGCGAGAGGCTGGGGAGGTCCCAACTGTCCCCGGCTTGTAAACCTCTATGCAGGGATAAGACTTGTTGACAAGGAGGACGTCATTTTGTGACGTCACACTCATGCCGGTCATCATGTCTGACCGGAGGCAATATTCGGACAGCAGGATGCCCCTCATTTTCTTCCTTTTTCAAATTTGGCGATGTGCGTTCACTTCCTTCATTTAGTTGTTCAAGTGACCAGTAAAAGTACAGCTCGCAACTTATTTGAAAGTCAGTTGATTATGTGTTTCCTGGAAAAATAACAGAATAACTAAAAATTGTGATACACCGTAGGGCCTATATGTAAATGTTGCTGGAGTTAACATAGAGATTGTGATGTGAGAGGTCTACTCACAGCACTGACAAGAGACTCATAACGACAGGCTCGTAGCAAGGGTGGTTTGAGGGGGGAGGGGGGTAAAACGAACCACCCTTTTGTTAGCAAAGGTCTTCTCTGGGTATTGTTTGATGTAGCTATACCAAGGCTTCCATGTATAAGGTACTCTTTTTCAGAAAACGCCCCCCCCCTCTCTTTGTAATTGTTTTGAAATTGCTGGGTACGGGCCTGTAACGATGATCATCGAATATGCAATGAGAGAGAGAGAGAGAGAGAGAGAGAGAGAGAGATAGAGAGAGAGAGAGAGAGCGCATGCACATATACACAAGTACACCCACATCCTAAGTAAGTCATACACTCACCTTGTTTTCATGCGCGTTAGGCCTCTATTCCAAAGCTCTACCTGTATATCCAACCCAAACCAGCTGTTGCACACTACAGCGCGCTGATAACGTCCCGTTTATGCAGGCACGCCCCCGTATCAGACAGGTTAACAAGCGTTCACGTGCACGTTTTAACAGTCAGAGCTAAATGTCTCTGCTATCCTTGACGTGGTGTGAAAAGATGCTGAGAAATGCCATTACTTCCTGGATCAAACTATTGACAGTGTCGTGACTGTGACTGAACCCAGGTGTGTGTAGTTGGATACAGAGTCCTTCAGTTAGGGTTAATAAGTGATTTAGAGACTAGTCGCTTAAATGGTGACACGTTATCAGTTTGCTTGTTATCTGTCATCTGAACAACGGTGAACTAGTAACACTTATACCGCTATACCTGAACAGTGAGGCATCTGATCAACTGCCTGATACCATTCATCGTCACGTGCCTTTGGTCCAAGTCCAAAAGTCAAAATCCTTCAACAGGTAGACAGGAATCCAAACGGGGCCTTCATGCATACGCAAAATTGTGGACTATTCCGCTCGACTCTATAAAGCCAGATGTATTTTCAAGCCTGGATTACATAAAACTCCTAGAAAGTTGCACGATTTCCGTTAATTCCACTCTCATGTGCCCGGAATCCCAGAGATTACTGGAAATCAGTTTCTGCACATGTTCCCAGCGTGTAAATGGTGGATGTTATTTCCCATGTAACTCCCATGCACATATATACCACTTCCTACTATAATTCGTAGAATTGAAATATCTTAACCCAGTTAAGCCAGGTACCTTATAGATAAACACTGACTCTAAGTTAGGCCAGATTTGTACTATATACCCTTAATATAATGAATCACCTTCCGTCCCACAGTCGACTAAAATGGTCGTTCACATTCATGTGCCTCTATGTGTTTGCCCCTTTATAGATTGAACCATAGTACTACTTTGTAACGCCCAATATTCCCCGCTAGTCAAAAAATAATCGATGCCAATATTTGATGTGTCTTTTAAGTGCCTTTCATAGTTAAAGAACTGTGGTCTTTATTCCCTACGCTTGCGGGTCTATGGCATTATGTCATAGTTTGTCTCTTAACCAAGTATTCAATTTTGTTGTCATTCTAGTAAGGCTCTTTTATTTGTCAATTTATTATTATGATAATCAATTATTAATACTACGTGCCTGCGCATTTTGTTACAATAGGATTTGACCTAATTGTGAGTGACAAAGGTGCGTATACAAAATGTAGGGCGATTGGGTCGATGTTTCTTTATCTGAAAAGGAATGTGGAAGTTGGGGGAGACATAAAAGGATAATTTTGACTAGGTTTCTACGCACTACCGTTGTCACACATTGAATTTTGTTCCTCGCTTACACACTTTCAAAGTACCGTCTAATTAAATGAAGTATTTTTTAAAGATTAGGTATCATTAAAAATAAGTTATATGTAGAGAAAGAAGACACTTGCACACATTTTCCAGTTTAAATCTTTCCTCTGAAGGAAAACACGAATAAATTTTCAAATAGCTACCCCTCACTTAAAAAAATTAAGACAAAAAAAAGAAAGAAAGAAAGAAAAGAAAAGAAAACTTGCAAAATGTTATTGAACACAATAAGACTAACTTGTATTGATTATACTTTATAGCCACTGTCCACTCTAGTAACGCTTTATGAGGCGAACAGATTGTTGCACATCAAAAATGATTGATTTAACCTTTAGGTCTTGGTCGTTAAATACGACAATAATTTGGATTAATTGGATTATTAAACCGCACAAAGCAAGCTCAGTTGAAGTACTTAACTGTTGATGGGCGTCGTTGCTCAAAGCGCAAATACTCCGTGGAAATACCGATCTCAGTGTAAGAACACTGGGATTTCTATCCTTTAAAGTAGATACTATGAGAAAATGTGATAGTCAACGCATGAAATTCATACATTAATGTTAATGAACTTTAAATATTACATCTTAAGGGTGTGTTCAGAACAAGATGGTCCGCGTACTAACAGATCCGCGGATCAAATATGGCCGATCCACTTTAAAGCTTGACGCATAACCCCCAAAAGACACTTAATAGATTCCCCGCTAAAAACTCCGCGGTAAGCTTTCAAGTGAGTGGGCTTGATTTGTGAATGTGGCCTTATTTTTTGTTATTTATTTATGACAGTGTGTCAAAATCTCAGACAAGCGATCTCAGGTAACAGTGATCGGCAGGGCGATGACGCAGTTGCTGTGCAAAATTCCTCTCCGGACAGAAATGTGCCCAGTTAGTGAATAACTAGACAAATATCCGTGAATATCTAGTGAAAAAAGATTTACTCTGTGACCCTGGTAGAGTGTGTATGGTCACTAACTTGAAAGTAATAGGGATACATTGTTATTGCAAAAATCTAAATGGATCAGATTGTGAATCGGTCTTTCGACATTATTTCCCCACTGTCCAATGTCAATTACATGTCTATTTCACTTATCCATTTAAAGTAAATCATTGCACGGAACAGATAAAATAGAATTAAGACCCTTTCAATTAAAATGTTTTCTTAAGATAAATTATGTATTCGTCAACACTTAATTATTTTACATTACACTTATTTTGTTTCAGCTTGTATGGGCCAACTCGTACCGCTTAGGCTGCGCTTTCAAGGAATGTCGACGAAATTCTCCGTTTGGAACCTCGAAGTGGTACTACTCGGTGTGCAACTATTATCCTGGGTGAGAGGCTCATTGACAATGGAAGCGATATCCATTGTGTTTTTTCATTTTTTAAAAATAGATGTCTCAACGAAAGAGGCCATGTTTCCATCAGCATTGGTCTGTCTGTTTGTTCATCTATCTTAGAAAGGATAAGTGATCACAAAAAGTTTTTTTGAGAATTCTGTAAGAAAAATTTTCACAACATTTAAGAGATGGCGATTTAAGTTTGGGTGCCTTTTGTTTTTAAAGTTTTTATTGCTCTTTTCCTAGGGGGAGGCCTGTGCCTTTGGAGTGCTGTTTAGTTTTATTTATTCATTTTAATATATTGATTAGATACGTATCTTTATTAAGATAATAAAATAATTCAAACCCTACCTTGATGGAACAGGCTGTGAAAGCACAGTTGGCCTGACAGCAGTCTCAGAGCTTTATATCAAACCTTTTCGTGATACGAAATCGGAGATAATAAAACAGCCTCCTAACGTAAAAAATTGTGCAAGAGTACAATTTTATCTATTATTTCAGTGGAAACATCATAGGAAGAAAGCCCTACAAGACTGGAAGACCATGCAGTAAATGTGCAGCACAGGGAAACACGGGAGATTGTGTGCAGGGATTGTGTGGTACTGAGAAGTCATTTTAATATTCTGGATATTCAATGACGGCTCCACGAGTTTGCTATAAGAGTTTGGGCGGGGAAGGGGGGGAAAGTGGGCGTACATAAATAATAAGCAATTTTGCCCCGATTCATTCCGAAAAGTTTTACCCCTCTAATATATAGGGCACAGGGGTGGAAATAGATACGTGTAGGACTGTGTAGTTTCGTTTTGATCGTTACTTTTTTTTTTTTTTTTTTTTTGGGGGGGGAGTGGGGGGGGGTAGAAGGGTGGGGGAGGTGGCAAGCGGTGCCTCAAAAGCTAAGGGAACGGAACATGACATATGTGCCCCTCTCCTTATTTCTTATATAGGATATTTGATCTAAAATTCTATTTGATTAAACCACTATTAAAACTGGTGCAATATCAATCAATGCCATGGGGAAAATTAAGGAATCGTTTTATAAAAAACACTACCGAGTGACGCTTGGTGGTCTTTATACATGGCAGTTATTGGTAGTTTGTCTCTACTAACGGAATGACCGTGTCTAATATGCTTGTTCTTGGTCTTGCTAAACCAATTATACATCAAATAGTTCCTGTTATTTTGCAGATTGTTTTATTAAATTTATCATTTATTAATTTTTTCTTGAATAGACATTGTTTACACTACTTTACAAGTAATTCATTTTTCAATTCTCTCTCAGCCACTACCTACCAGTGTGATCGTGAACCAGAAAGCTGTGGTATGTTATTTATTTATTTATTTATTGCTACTTTTGAGTTTCTCGGAATGTGTTATATAAATGCAGTTCAGTATATAAAACTACTTTCATTACTGTGTGAAAACAACTTAGCATAAATTGTCCAGAATAGACACACACACACACACACACACACACGCACGCACACACACAGTCATTTTTCGTACCCTGGATTTATCCGTGTACATGTCAAACCATCATTTATAACCTCCTTTCTAGGTCTTGAAAACACCTGCGGCCGTGTCATCGAGTGTGACAACGGCGGAACCCCTGACTACGACACCTGCGGCTGCCGCTGTCCCCCAGCCTACGGCGGAAGAACCTGCAGGGCAGGTATGCTGCGCAATTACCCATTACGAAAAATATCAAATTTGATATTTATGCATCGGATATTGAACGATGGGCCTTTGCTTGTTTTTCGACATTTAACAAGCCACGACTCAATGCAATTATCCTAGAGTTTGAATTATTCACCTCTCTCTCTTTTTTTTAAGTTGTATGCCTTATTTCAAACAATGTGAAGGTTTTAAGTCATTGTTTGTCACTTCGGGAAAGTTCTTTCTTATATCTTTCTTGATTATAAAGTATTTGATTTACATATGAGCTTCCTATATGTTTTCATTTACAGCGAAGTGTTCTGCGGTCTATAAGTGTCAAAATGGCGGGAAGTTTGATTACGATTCCTGCACGTGTCAGTGCACAGAGTTTTTTGCAGGAAGGACGTGCGAGCGAGGTATGAGTTTACACTGATTCATTTTATTACTTTGCTCAAATGAGTTATAAAGACTTGGCTTTAAGACAAACATGAATATCTTAACCGTATTTTGTACTTTGTCATATTGCGCCACATATAAAATTGAACTTGCCGTGTGTGTGTGTGTGTGCGTGTGTGTGTGTGTGTACAAATATACATAGGTATCTTTATTGCAGACGAGATCAATATTACTTTTTTTTTTGGTTTGAACACATTTAGACACATGTACATGTATTCAAAAGCAACCACGCGACCTCAGGTGGGATATACATTTCAGCAACATTCAAATTGATTTTGATAAACGATGTTTAATACTGAGTGCCAACCAATTGCTTCCAGCCGAAAAAGGAAAAAGCGAAGACGACCAAAAACGTGTGTCCTAATATTTTTCTTGTTTCTTTTCTCTGCCCTCCACTCTTTTTCATTTCATTTTCTCTTCACTTAATTCATCTAGTTCCATGGACACAGCGAAATTCTCTCTCGTGACTTGCATGTCGGATTCCACCAATCGCTTTTTTGGAATAAAATCGGCCTATCCATTTTTTCATGTTATCACTGCTTGACATTCATATGGAAGATAAGTTTTTGCACGATTTTTGCTTTTAGAAGAGAGCGTTGATGACAATGACATTTTATCCTCTAAAATCAGCCCATTTCTTTAAATGGTTGCATTTATTTTTCCTGTCACATCAACAAAACGTATTTTCCCTGTGAAGTGGAAAAGGGGGAAATGCAAGTATCCTTTCGCTTGATTTTAGTTGAAAACGGGAATTCTAAAAACGTATATTATTTATAGGATGCTTTAATTTTTATCTCATTATTGAGGTAAAAGTTAGGATCGAAAAATCTACCAGTTAGGCTGGAAAAATTCTTTTCGTGTTAAAATCTTTTCGACGGACCATCTGCATATGGAAAAAAAGATACTTTGATATGCATGGATATCAGGAGCGGATCCAGAGTTATTTTCTGACAGTCTTCCAAATTATCTTTGTTGATCCGTCCTCCATTTTTTGACCGTCTTCCGACAGAAAAAATTGGATACCCGTCAATGTAAACTTGAAAATCTGACCGTCTTCCGGAAGACCCAGAAGACGCCCTAAATCCGCCCCTGAATATGTTTATATGATGTTCTTTATGTATCTTCTAATACCAGGTGCATCTTTTATTATATTTAGACTGTGACATGCATGTTTTTACATATTTTACCCGTTATATCTCTTTTTGGATGTATAACTTCATACGGCCCTATATTGAATGCTATTTTTTTAAGAAACGAAACCTGATGCGTTATCATTTATATAAGGGAAAATGGATTTAAGTTTATATAATTATCTCTGTATTTTTAAGTTAATCTAAATTCAGGGGGTTGAAAAATGATGTGCGGATTTTAAAGTGATCGAAATTGACACTAATAAGTGACTGAAGCTTAGACACTTTCAATGGAAATATTTTTAATGCAATTTGATGAATAGTTCTCACGCAGTTTGAATTACATTACCAGTACAGTGAATAACAATCGACTTTCAGCCAAATGCAGCGAACTGGGTCAATCCGGAAAGGACGTGTATTGGTGCTCCACGGTCGGTCCGGAATGGTGCCAGCCAGGATTCCATCTTGTAGGAGAACCCGAAGACCAAGAGATTCGGTATAAGTACTGCCCCAGGAAATGCGGGATATGTTAAAGTATTTGGGGCGTGGTCGAAGCAAGGATCACGATCTGTGAATTAAATCAACGTGTGATTATTGTGAAGTTGTTGTGCTAATTTCCAGCTGCAGCGAATCGTAATTACGCTGTATACAATATGCCTGAAAGAACAGTTTCTCTAGACAGTGTCTGGTTATTTCATTTTTATACAATGCTGTTTTGACTGTCGTTGTGAACACATCCTTGTAGCTATAGCGTGATATCAAAATGACAGCTAAATGAACTACTTTTGCCACCACGAATTTTCTGGGATAAGCTAAGGCGTATAAGTAACGCAATATTTGCGCGAGTGTAAAAATATCGACACATAAACTGCCGACATGTGATGCTGTATATGTATGATTCTACCGGTATAATTATAGTTTTGACATATATATTCATGTGATATTTTATATTGTGTTTATTTTCATTGCTGTTTTGATTAAAATGTGTATTTCTTTCTTTGAAAACGTTTCTGTGTCATTCCAAAATACATGTTCTTGACAGACATCGAAATATTGGAGGTAAACAATTTCGTTTATCAACTTGAAGAAAAAAATATTACTTCATATTCATAACATGACACAGCTGATGAAATTCTCTTCTCACATGCTTCTACCATTTTTATATAATCTAGTGCTTGTGAAACGTGCTGAAATTGTGAAATTGAAATTGTGAATTTGATTGATATAGACTGAACTGTAGAATCCTACTATAGGACTATGCATGTATTATCAAGGAAAATATGGATTGACTTTCCCCTTGGCCGAGAACATACCCACATGATACTCGGGTGTTCGGAAAAACAACAAGATATTCATGAAATCACAAAAATAAATAGAGAAAATTTTCTGAATCAACAGCGGAATACTTAGTGTGCCTTTAGCAATATGCAAACTATCCGGGTTACCGCTATACGCAGGCATCTTTTTAAACCACCGACCGCAAAACAGGTAAAATCACAGATTGTGTCTGGCTTATTAGTAAGTATATTGAAATTTAAACCGTGTAATCTCCTAATGACGGGTTTCGTTTACCAAGGCTCACGGAGAGAAAAATGAGAAGACAACGTGCTTTGGTCTATGTCGTCGGGCGTGATCAGTTTGATGATGTATTCACGCTCTTCTATCATATTTTGCTGAAGAGGTGTTTTTCGTTATCATATTTGTCATTTTTTCATCGTCGATAAGGTGAAAAATTGAAGAGATCGTGAACAAGTATACACATTGCATTTTGTGCATAGCATGAAGATTTTAAACTGCTCCAATTGTTTTCAAAACATATTGGTAAATTAGAAGGCAAAGTTTGTCTGAATAATACCAAAACCAGCTTTATTCCCTTATCAGGCATATTTTGAGAGTCAGCTCCGTTCTCTATATGTTATTCAATTGTCCTGTGACGATTTACACATTATTGGTTATAGATCTGATAGTTTTACAACTACATCATACGAATTATCAAACTTTTAAAACTCACAATGTTCGTGAAACTTCTGCATAGTAAGCAGTTATTTTTCTTTGAAATCTCAACTCTTTCCCCTAATGAAATGGACCTTTTTATCTTTTTTCGTAATCACTTTTTTGTTAAAGCCCTCATTAAACTTTGATGTCTGACGCAAATGGGCTTTAATATTTCAAAGCATTATTCCTTTTGTTCTTTTCCACTAATGCAAACAATAAATTTACCTCTGAAAATTAAGCTACGTTTTGTTCAAATCTTTGAAAATCTGAGACGGTAATAGCTTAACAAACTTTGGGTGGATGGGTGGATTTTGAGTCTTTAAAAGCGGCTGTTTAACAGGGTTATACAAATAGCGCATTTTGCACAGCAAAGAGCTTTGTGGTGAAACAGTGCAGACAGAGATCTTGACCGGTGCTTGCCCAAGAGTTGTCACTATGAAGATTGTCTTCCTACACATTGTAGTAACGTTACTGTTTGTTGGCCTTGAAAAAGGTAAGATCCCTTGATTTATGGTTATCAGATTTATTGGTTGATTGGTGATTCATTGATATGTTTATTCATTTTTACTCAGTTATTTGTTCATCCATTTCTTCATTTATTTACTTTTTAAGTCATACTAGCTTGTAAATCTGCTTTTATAGCTTTGTCTAAATCAATTAATACCGATGATGGAGAATTTCCATTTCAATGGAACATTCATACTTCTATTTTTCATTGCTTTTTCCCAACATCTTTTTTCCCCAAAATAGTCTTTAAAAATGATTTATTTTGTGTGCAGGCACATGGCAAGTATATTCGAACCCAATACCGGGCGAGCGGTTCTCTCCCGAGGGTGGTAGATTTCCAGACAGCGGGGATCTCACGGAGAGAGACCCTGGTTACGTTAACGTCGAAAGGCTACTCAGTCGAATTGAGAAGCCCTCTAAGCCAGGTGATGAAGGGAGGGGGATCATACAGGGTGGAGGAGTACCGGCCAAGGGGCTGAACCGGATCCTACTCGATCGACGTGATGGTGGGGTGCTTGATGAGGAAACTCTAAAGAAAAAGCAACTGAATGAAGGCACTCGTGACAATGTCGACTTCAAGAGACTGTGTACGGCTTACGAGAGCGTGATTTGTGCTTTGAGGTACCTTAGCCGCTGAGAAGAAGAATCTTACCGTGATGACAGTAGATATATTTGAATGACATTTTCAATCTCGGTTTCTACATCCGCGTTGGACATTAACTAGTTGGAGACATTGTTTAATACCCAATGCTTAATTAACATAATTCTATATTCATTGCAACTTATGCACCGGTATGCACTGGCAAATATGTACAGTATGACAACAGAATAAGACTAAACTACAAAACAAAGACACCAGGCTATCATAATAATCTCTTTAAAGAAAAGTTTCAGCACTGTTCTATTGAGCTGTCTCTCTTTGACTTCCAAAATAAACGTGGTCATCGCAACGAAAGTGCGCTTTTTTGCACGTCTTACAAATTTGACAAATTTCTTTGTAACTGTCGATATTAAAAAGTGAGTCTTGTTACTTTACCATTGGCACAAATAATTTTCATAATGTAAGCACATTGTGGGGAAGTGACGCATATCAAATTGGCATAATTTGACACTTCCAAAACTAAAATTAAGCTAAGGGTAGCCGAAATAATGGACAAGGAAAAAAAAGACAGATGTAGGTTTATGTATTTTCACCAAATGTAATTAAATGAAAATAAAAAAATGTTCACTGCAAACCAGATGAATCATTAGGTCGGTATGGGATTAAGAAGATAGTTAAGGGATCTAATTGTTATGAGATGCTATGAAAACTAAGTCATTGAAAATGATAAAGCAAGAATGGTAAAGCATCATTGCAATAAAAGGCAAATACATCACTAACAAAAGTACAAATTCATCTACTGTACTTTCTATTTTTTGTTATTTTAGACACAAAAGGCAGTTCATCATTCATAAACGCGTGGCCTAAAAAGCCAATCTATTTCACGCAATCAACAGATGCGTCACTGCACGCTTCGCCATCTTTCGCGTTAGATTATAAGGGTGTGTTCCCGTTGAAACTATCGTACTAGGTAGATCACGAAGATTGTCGCTGAATGCAATCAGATTGACTATATGACGCCTCCTGGAACCGCTAGGGGTAATTAACTTCCGTGCGCGTTCGGTCGCACTCTAAACGAAATGAAAATGCTTCCAAAGGCCAAGAGCTCAAGATAAGGCTAACACTTCTAAAGTCCCCAGAAAATTTATTTCTCAAAAATATCTCGATCAATAGAAATGGCGTCACCGATGTGTGGCGACCCCCATTTCGTGCTTGTGAAACAACACACATCCACAAAACTGAATATATACGATGCTGTGTGAGGTCAACATCAACCCAAGGAAAGTTGAGCAAGAGTTTTAGGTATGTGGGTCCTTCACGCTGATTTGTATCGTACTAATCAATTTATATCGAAAAACATTGCCAATATGATACACCCTTTTACAGACCGGTGTGAAAGGAACTGCAGTCCGCTAGGAACCGTCGTCAAATTCCCAATGCTTCGTACTAGTACCTTTTATAGCTGATATTTGTCCCATATACTGCCCTTAATACTTCCAGTGAAACGTGACACAGAGTCCCCCATTATAGAGAGTCCGCTTCTCATTCATTTGTACAGGTAAGTGTTTGACCCACGTAGGTCAAGCTAACCCTAACCATTACAACTAAATTGAGAGCAGACATCTTGTTTCACGGACCTTTAGTTTCATTACACCGGCTAGCCTTTACCTGTGCTAATCATATTGGAACCAGAAATTCCTAACCAAGGAATACCATTCTTTTCACACTTGTCCGTTTCTAAATTTCTTTAGGTAAAGATCACCGAGAAGTCTGCATTTCTGACTTACATATATATCTGTTGAAACTTCGTCTTATAATCACTAATTTTATATGACTAATATAAAATACAACGAGATACCACACGCACTGAAGATGGAAGGCCTACAGAGACAAGTTTCAAATTCTTGAAAACAGTTTTGCATTTCTTCTCTCGGAGAAATGGTACATTTTACATTCTTTACTCCTTCCCTGCAAATGAAAGTTGTGGCATTTGTTCCACGGCATTATAATAAAGGATTTAATGGATTTAACCAGCAATGCATCTTGATTTGTCAAGTTCAAGTTACGTGAAAGAATCAAAGTCGTCTGGATAAGATTTAGGTATATGTCATGGTATTGGCTCTGCAATCTGATTAAAGTACCACAAACTCAGAAACCAGGGCCTCCTAAAACTGTGAAAATCCATAACCGAAACCGAAACAAATAAAACGATCAAGTGCAATGTCCTGCAGACGACGAGCTATTTCCCTCTTAAATGCTCTAAGCGACAGAATACATTTTCAAAAGCGGTGCAATATGGTTTGTTTGTCTTTTGGCGCTTGTGAAACTCCGAAAGTACATCAATGTCAAGGATGAAGTGGTCACTGCGCTTGCGCCGTGAAGACTTCTGCGTAGGATCGTGGTTATCACGTGCTGTTGTTCCTCGAAAAAATTCGGTGGTAATTTGAGGTGGTTTCTTGCTCACGGTCCATTTCCAAACCGCTCTGTCAATTTTGTGCTTCGATAGGATTTTCGGCATGAGGGTATTTTTAAGCGGTAGTGCTGCAGTCGGCAAAAGTGCTAAGAATTGCCAAAAAAGTACATTATTATTATAAAACATTCATTTCTTCCAAGGGAACATAAACTATCGAAAAAAATACAAAAATATTTGTAGTCAGTGAATTTTGCCAATTATTTTTTTATTAGTTATGCTTTTAATACAACTTTTATAATTGTTCCAAGCCTTATACTTTTTAAACGTGTTATTGAAAACATCAAATAACTGTATAAAGAGCTTCCGGGAGCGCATCCATTCGGCGAAAATTACCTTTTGATACAAAGTTAGTGTATCAAACAATCTTCTGTTAATTTTAAAAGGGTGTGCGATATTCTCTTGATCCGTTAAAAATTTGTCACTGTGAATTTGCTTTCAAGAAATTACTTCTGAACCTAACCATGAAAATTATCATCCAAGCATTTACGTAAAAAGCAAACGCAAGATATTTGTATTGGGTTTCGTTGTCTACTGTCAGTTTTTCTTTACTTTATTTTTTACGTTTCCTGTCGTGTTAAATGTAATATTTTGGGGTTTATATCGTCACGGGACGAAGAGCATTGAATGAATGAATTACAAAACACATCTATTAACCTTCATGTACGTTTACTTACCGCTAAAGTAAATCACGAAGACAAACGCTATTGCAAAACCTGGCAGGACACGCGCTGGCATTCTGACGCGGAATTTCCTTCTTCCTGAGCGGCAAGACAATCACTGTACCTACTTTTTAGTGAACGTGGAATATGGCATCGAAATAAATCATCACTTATATTTGTTATGATATTTCCGGTCTTAATATGATTACGATAGCACGTGAGGTTGGTTTTCTATTACCTTTCTAAAGATTCGTCTCAGTGACGCCAATAGGTATCATGTAAGGTGTATTGTCACATATTGTATTGCTATCACAAGAACTTCACTTACATTGATTAAAATCGCAGCCAAGACACGATTCGACCATAATTCCAGGAGGTTTACTCCCAGTCGTTATCAGGGACAAAAAAAAAATATATATATATATTTATATATATATATATATATATATATATATATATATATATATATATCCAGACATACTGATGTCATCTTATGTAAGGCGCACTGAGAGTGTAGTGCGTTTACAAGAACAAAACTCAAGTTTTGTTTCTTTTTTCTTTCTTTCTTTCTTTCTTTAATCGTAGTCACGAAAGTACAGTTAAGAGGGCTTTTTTCGTTTAAATTCATAATAACCTGATAGTCACCACCTCAGTGGGAGTCCACCTCGGCACAGCTTCGACTCAGTCGATGAAATGACATCAAACAGAATGGTTTATAAGCCGGGAAGGCAGGCAGGCGTTCCTTGGACGGAATGTCATGTAGGTTTAAATCCAAAATATCAATGGTTAAGGCAAGGGTTTTGATACGGAGGTGAAGCAATGCACATGTAAAACAGTAGGCCTACATGACTTTTTATATAATACATGTACACTGTATGTAGGTCACAGTAAAGGAAATTGCTTGATTTTGTCTCCTTTCCCCTGATCATATACTGTTTTTGACTTTTATTCACGTTGATTTTATTATATTTTACTTTTCTTTTAATTCATATATCTTAAGTTCAATTGATTGATAGAATCGGAGGAGAGAACAGGAAGATCCTTCGTAGCAGATGGAGAAAACTGTCAGGTGTGCCCACGTTAGAATTTTCCATTGATTCACCCACAGAAAGTAGCCCAAAGTATGACTCACGGGAAAACATTGTTTGAAACGCTTGCATTTGTAGCCATAACACATGAAGTCATGAATGTAAAATTAATATATAGGAATAAATTAACTAACGTTGTTAAAACTGCAAGCAAGATTATCGGACAGGATCTCCCCAAGCTGTATAATATTTTTAAAAACAGAATGGAGAAAAGAACTGGATACACGATGAAAGATTATTCTCACCCAACATCATCACTTTTTACGTATTTACCAAGCAATAGTAGACTGTTAACTTTTAAAGGCAGTAAACGCTTGAAAAAAAAAAACAGATTTTAACCAAGTGCAGTAATTTGATCTCAAAACCAAATTCCAAATTTATCTATTGTATTACTTTTACTCTATATATTATCGAACTCCAAAAGGAAAATTATTTCCGATTTTTATAATTGGCTAAATAAACTCTTATCTCTCTTATCCCTTAGAAATAAAAGTGAAATAAACATACAGAGTAATTTTGATTTTGCTTTATATATCAAGTTCATTAAGTGCCCAGAGAATTTGGAAATGTATGTTTGAACCTTTTTTTATCTGCACACTTATGTCTACCCTCCTTCCGTTTTGAACTTTCCTCTCCAGTTGCTTCTGTTGTCTTTACCCTCAAGTTCTCTTCTTCTTCTCATCAAGAAGGTGTTTATGCCAATGTTAAGCCCATTCAATTTTCTCACATTTATAACCCTCTCTCTCTCTCTCTCTCTCTCTCTCTGAAAACACAATTACCAATAACAGACATTGCGACAGTAGGACAAATGTACATTTTAACTTACATGGACGTTTAGGTAGTGGTTCAAATATTTGATTGTTGTTAGTGAAAGTGATTTCATAAATTGGAAATGTAAGTTGGTGGCCACGTTGTTGCCAATGCAATTAAGGTTTTTGTTCGAATCACTACAAAAATTACGGTAGGCCTAACAGTTTCAATCCATCTTGAAACTGTAATGTTAATTGTCCGTTCCAACTCATTAACATGGACAATTCAAATTAAAATAACGCGATATTCACTTTCACTTATAGTAGTTTGGTTATTTGGGAAGGCAATAACCAACCAATCTCAATTCTATGCATATTTCGAATCGACCCATATTTGTAGTAAAGTTTTGATAAGATTGCGTTAGATGGGATACTTGTGTCGACACTGTCTCAACTAGCACAATGTCGACACAGTCGATCTAATATCCAAGCGGATTTATAAGCGAGATTGTGTGCATATATTTGTACATATAGGGCTGATTCCCAATGAAACAATGGGCCTGCGTGAATCAATCCAACTCTGTGGGGACTCTCGGTAAATGAAATCAGTTAAACAAATTAAAACTTCTCTTACATTCTACTTTTAAGTTAAAACACCAGTAAAATATGTCTGCTGCCAGTTAATCTTGCATTTAGCGAGAGGCACTGCGGAGTTGGATTAAGATTAAGAGGCGCCGCCCATTTCCTTGTCGTTGCAGGACACTCCCAGAGTAGCAGCCTCACAATTGACTCGAATTGTATTTTGTTAATTTATTTACTAGGGCATGATTTGGTATCCTTTTCTGTTTCTTTTAATATTTTATAATTTTTTTTAATATCTGTCGTAGACTAAACAAATAAAAAGCACTGATGAATGAATTTATATAATTACAACGTTCCAAATATATATGTATTCTTCTTTTCCTTTTTGATAGACAAACTTCTTTTTTTTTTTTCTAAACCATTATCGACATTAAATAAATGCAAAGTAAATTAAAACATCAATAACAAACGCTGGTGTTACAATAGCACAAACATGTTATTTCCACTGGACATGCCCATCAAAGGCTACTTCTCTTACAGAAAATTTCGTCTTCTTCACCCTCAGATCATACACAATTGGAGCATTGTGCCTCCATCTTTACTTACAAAGAGTTTACAAAGTTCTTCACTGACCAAACTTAATTTTTAGATCAACTAAACAGTAACACTTCAAATGTCGAGAATCTTGACTCGTTAAATATGCCCATTGCGTGATTCTTTGAGTTACAGTTCAAAAATTATTCCAACAAGCAAGCTTACTTAACTACGCCTATTTTGAAAGAATCTGGCCATCAGAGCAAATACTGCTTTTTTCTTTCTACTATAATTTCCACCGGATAAGCAATTCATATACATGAAATTTATTGACAATGCAGTTGTATAACATACAAAATAACTTGAAGTGATCAAGTTCAAATAAATTTACAGTGATATTACAGATGACGCATATGTAGGCATACTATTCTTTTCTAAATAAACATTTATTTTTGAAAGAATGAATTTGAATCTGAGAATAGCATTAGCTTATTTTACTGTTGGAATACATTAACAAATTTAATCTGCAGTGCTGGGCATCTTCACTTCAAGCAAAGACCAGAACTCCGTACGACAGCCTCTTTTCTAATATTCTAAAGAACTGGAACCCAGACACCACAGAAAAGGGTGGACCATTTTGGTGTAAATAACATCCATTAGTTTTATAAATTTCGATCAAGCCAGTGCATGGGTGGAGTAGCAATGCACATCTGAGTCATAATTTTATAATGTGCAATTATTTCTGAATTGCTGCAGAACTTGCCAAATTGTACTGGCAAAAAAAAATTCTCAACTATCAAATGGAACATTTACAAAAATTTGGGTTGGGCAGATGTAACTACTGGCTGGTTGCTAAAAATAAATATAACACCTAAACAACATGATTTATACACAGAATAATGCTTATGATGTAATACAATGGTGACCGTATTTGTGTAAATCTAATTTATAATATTAAGAGGAAAAAAATAAGATAGTGATAAAATAGACATAATCTTAAATAAGATCCAACAAGTAGACAAATTCATACACATCTACATTTGATAAACTATTGTACTAAAGACTGTGTAATAGCCGATATAGGCTCACCAATAAACAATGACCTTTTTTTTACAATGCAAAAACAGCAGATGCAGTTATCTGGCCCACACACTTTCAATACAGATTTACATACTTGCCCCTGGAGGGCATAAACATATGAGTGAAAATGAACACCGATGGTTCAGCTGCGCAAAAAAACACTGCCCACCTGCTATAACTACCTTCACACTGAATCAATGATGTATCTTCAAACACTGCATCACAGCATAACAAATATTCCTGCACAGCTTCATTGTTTGAAAACACATAAGCCAGTAGCATATCAATCTCTAAGTAATTCACTGTTCACACTTGTGTCACCCTTCGCAAAGCCGATCAGGAAATTTTCACAAATAATGCAAGCACAAGAGCCTATTTCTTTAATATTCAAGATCATCATTACTATTCATATTTTAACGTTGATTTATCTGTGGCAGTTGAATTAATGGTGGGATACTGGACATTTTGTTGACAGTGCGGCAACAAGTAGCCAAAAATGTGACAATAAGAAAGGTGTGACACTTGAGGTTGGTGACACTGTTTTAGTTTTGTGGGCATGGCTGTGTGCTGTGCAGTAGAGTTGGATGTGACAGTGTGTTTGGTGTGACAGTGTGTTGGGTGTGACAGTGTGTTGGGTGTGACATCTGGCTCAATACCACATGCCTACATTAAACAATAAATAGGAAAAAAGAAAATTCCGAGTGCCATTTGAAGTTTTGACATTTGACATCACTTATGCACCCCTCACCGTCCAAGCATAACATGTTATTTTTTACTTTTTTTAAATCATCACTCCCATACAAAGAAATGATGTTTCTTTTAAATAAATAAAGTGTACAACAGTTATATGAAAACAAACTTAAGTTATAAAATCATGTATATTCAGTGGCACAACTGGAGTAACAAGGTGTCTGAGCAGCTCGTCTTGGAAAAATTGTCTCCCTCTACTGAATACATCAAAATAGATGGCAGTTGTGCTTTGCTGTAACCTTGACCCCTGATGTGTTCCAAAATTCCTGTATTTAATTTATAAATCAGTTTATGCAGTCTTTGACATAAAAATCACTTAACATGACTGAGTACTGAAGTGAAATAAAAAAAAAAAAACATCTCTATCCTTCTCTGACAGTTCTTAAATAGACACCATTTGATACAACTCTTAAACTTTCACAGCAAGCAAACTTATGAGATGTCTTAGACATGTTCTCAGAGTTGCAAGCAAGAAACAGAAAAACGCTTCTGAATAGCCAAGGAAGCAGAATTGGTCCATTCCCTTGCTGTGCTGAACTCTATCCCCATGGCAGAAGTTACACAATGTCAAGTGTGTTGCAGCAATCTTTGGTGTGTAGTGGGCTTCTCGTTTCCTCTTCAAAGATCAAATAAAGATCGCATCAGTGACTCCAGTTTGGTTTTTGGGAACAGAAATGAAGCTAGAAATGTCTTTGGAATATTTCTCTCTGTTCTGTCTTATACATTTATTCCGAAGTATTCCAAGGTATCCTTGGCAAAATGAGTGATAAAATGAAAGCAATTGGCATGATATTAATTGAGACCATGATCTGGTAAATGTCACTTTCTTGCCTGAAGAAAGTCATCAAAACATATAAAAGAGAGCAAGTTACTCCTTTGGTGAGCGCCCATCTCATTATTTATTTTTTTTTTTTTCATTTGAGATACCCATCCTTTTCCATTTTGACACAGAACAAGCTTCAATACCAAATCAAATCTTCTCTGAATAATGTCTTGTCTCTTCCAAGAATCTGTTCCATGTTTCTTCTTTCATTTCCCAGGAATCAACAGTCCAGAAATTAAAATAAAACTCCAGAACATGTCACAGATATTTTGTGAGATAAAAACATGGCATAGCAGCACAATAACGCACACACAAAAACAACAACAAAAATCTTAAGACTTTGACAGAAGAAATCCAAGCGTTAAGCCTGCTCCTGCCACTGCTCCGATTGCAGTCAATGCCATTTTGACATTTGGCCAAAGCTGTTCGTTTCTCATTTCTGCCCCGCCTTCATAAAATTCCACCAACCCATTCTGTAAAGAGAGAAAAAAAAAAAAATTAAAGTATAAATATGCAGTGCAGGTTTGCTGATGGGGAATTTTAATAGTTTTTATGGTAGTATCACAGCTAAATATACAAATTGCAGCACACCTTGATACATGACTGACGCTTTGACACAAATTATATTTTCAAAATTTTGCTTCAAAATGGATTATTTGTCCCTGAAATTGGGGTGCTTAAATAATTAACAAATAAATTACTTGATTCTATAAATATAATATGCATAAATGCAAGTACACCATATTCCTGTTCACGTATATACGTATTTATAATAAACAAAAGTATATTTAAGCAATTGTATCCTTGGATTTTCAAAGACTGTTTTCGTGTACAGCTTGTTTTAATAAAGACCTTTTTTTTAAATCTAGAAATGAAAAAGCAGAAGGAAAATCTGCAGGTTTCTTAGAATTCTGTGCTGGCCCAAGGTAAGCCCTTTATTTCTGTCAGTCTATTTTCAAATGTGATTTATTTTTATGTATTGTAATTTCACACCACCCTTGCCAGTCCAGAAGACCTGCAATATCATAAATCTTGCAGGTCCTCTGATATTTCAAGGGGCCATGACCTGTCTGTCAGGCAGGCAGTTTTCCCATGTCTGCATGCAACTATACATGGGATGTTAATTTGGGTGCAGGATACCCTCTACCAGGGCCACAGATTGATTTTTCACAAGATACTCACAGATATGTCTTATATATAATAGACGGTCATTTTGACTGACTGACTTTTGGAAAATTTGCCTATAATGTCTGCCACCCTGGTAGAGGGTAGGTGGGAGGAAAGGGAGATGGAAGTAATCAAGTTTGAGAAGCAAGCACAGGCTTGTTAACCTCGACTACATACCAGACAGGTCAGGCAGTTACCAGGTACAGTAGGGCATACAGTACAACATTACCAACAAGCCACGCGAACAGTTAATACTCATTACAAGTTAATCAGTTTAAACTTTTATCTAAAGCCGTGAAACGTGAAATGACCTCACTCCTGATAATACCGTCTTGTGACGGGGGAAATTTTCTCAGCAGATATGGGGATCAAATGAGTTCAGTTTTCAAGTACTCCTGAACTTCAGCAAAGATAGTACCCAGACTCAATAGAACTATCATTATTGTTGTTTCATAGAATTTACTTTGAATTAAACTTGATTTTTCAGCCAAATCATAAATCTCTTCTGATATTGCCATAAAACTCCACCTCCACCGAAAAAGGTCCTCCCATCAGATTTTACAATACTACTGAATTGACATTATCTAAACTGCCCTTACTTCTCCCTTTACTTTATTTTCCTTTTTTTTATCAATCTATTAATTTTAGCATTCTTATCATTTCTTTTCTTCTATTATTATTATCATTATTTTGTTTCTGAAGAATTAATTTTCAAAAAATTAATAACTTCACCCTTGATTATAATAAATACAAAATTTTTGTTATGTTGCACAGCCACGGTTGCTATGAGAGGTTGACTAAGTTTGATTGTCAAACCGAACCTTTTGACCTCTGATCCTGATAAACGTACAAAGCGAAAAAAGTATTAAGTGCAATAGACTTCACATAACTCTGACATTTAAGGACTGGAAATTGTGCTTGAGTAATGAGAAGATTCAAGTTGGACATTGTCCCTACAAGTTTCAGCTGAAATATGTAAATAATGTTATTGTAAGGAAAAATCAATTAATTAAAATAATAATAATTGATCACTATTTATTCCACATAGAAATCAATCGAGTTATACATTTAAGAGTTGTGCTGAATGGAATATATATATATATATATATATATATATATATATATATATATATATATATATATATATATAATTATTGCATCATACGTGAGCAACTGGGTTATTTATTCTACATGAGGAATGTGTATACATCAGGAGAATAAGATGACTAAGATGCAGCAGACATGAATATGTACATTATTATTGGTAATTTGCAGTAGGCCTGTATATCATTAAGTTAAGAAAGACATTTTAATAAATAAAAAAGATTTAAAAAATCTAATCAGAAAAGTTGTATTGGAGATCTATAAATTTATAAACTGATCCCATCCTGTGAAATCTTGGGGACCATTCCCACAGATAATTGGATCGATCTATCTCCCTGGGGAGTCTCACCAAATGGATCGATCTAGGCATGGGAACCCAGTCCTGGACAAACTTTGAACAATAAAGCCCACATATCATCATGTTCACATTAAGAAGCAACACCTGACTGTGATTTGGTATTCTATTTACACTCCCACTTGAAGCCACACATAATGTAGATCGTGACAAAAATGTCAATGTATATATCATTTCAACTGTTTTTAGCTCATGTTTCCTATTTCTATTATAGCTGTCCTCTATCAGTGTAGTCAGGTGCTACAAGCCATCTAATTCAATTACGCTCGTGGGCGAGATGCCCAACTTGACTTTTGATAAGGACGCTAATTTCAATGTACTGATTTAGTGCACTGGTATTTCTGCTAATGGCCCTATGAACATTATTACAATGTGATGTTAACTGTAAGTACTGCTTCTAAGGATTCTTATTATATTTTGAAACTTCTGTAATTTCTTAATTATTCTCATCAATTGAACACATGCCATTCAACTACAGTATATTTAAAGCCATTCAACTATATTTAAATTCCAATTATAATTAGAATATTATTAATTTTTCAGAATATACAATGTACAATGATATTCCTATCACGATCTTTGGGTACATCACTAACAATCTCCTACTGATAACCTGGAGTGTAAAAGGTCAGCCACATGACTATCATGTGACCTTCACTACCAGGTGACCCATGTTGAAATATAATTTTCTGATCCTGCTGTTACATAATCAAATGACACAAATACACTATTACTGATTTTTCATGTTAGCCTACTATTAATGTCATTTTTTATTTTATTTTAGTATTATTATCATTTATATATTATCTTGCTTTAATTTTACTATTATCATTATAACTATCATTATCTGCAAAGATCAAAGGCTCTATTCCCATAGATTTTAGATCGATCTATCCCCGCGGGGAGTCTCACTAGATTACTTATAGTAACTGGCTCGCGCTGTGGTCTTAATAAGGAGACACGCGCACTGATTTTGTATCAGAATGAATGCTCAATGATCGGCCAGTTGTCGGCACGTAAAGTATTATAATTTTTTCTCAAATGGGTCCGTACTGCTGGACGCTGAAAGGACGCCGTCCAGTGTAAAGGGGCCCTTAATGTTAACACACAGGCACGATCCGTCACTTGCCTACGCATTATTTCATGTGGCCTGTCAATTTTGCCTCACGTCATCCTTGAAATACTTGTGGTAAAAGGAACATCACCACACATACCTCTAACACATACGCATAGGGTCCTACTGCTACTTTTATCTATTTTTATACAGTCTCATTTCCCTAAGTACTTGTCTACCATCAGAAGGTTGGTTCCCCTTGATATTTTACCACATTGCAGTTTACTTCCTTGTTCTACTATGCTCACAAGGATAATTAATGAATCTCAAATAAATTATTCCGTCTAACATGAAAAAGAGGACAAAAAAATGCTCATGTTTATGTTATGGCTATGAAATTAATTATTCCTTTTTAAAAAGGAAGAAAGAAAATATCTGATTTTCTATTGCCAATGTATCACTAAAGTGGCATAAAAGCTAAGCTGAATTTGAGGTAGAAATCGAATTTTCAACTTCACATCTCTTTTGGCAATTTAACAGTTAATTATCTCTATACAATGAAAGTCTGCATTTCATCAGTGCTGTTTTGTAGATTTGTGAAAGGGCAACATAATATATCAAAAAACTTCCATACAGTTTTGATCAATTGATAGGGTAAGGCACTTATTCAGAATTGAAAAAAGTGATATACCAGTCATAAAAGCTTTTACTGATAAAAGGGTCTCCAAGGATTTTTTTACAAGAATTGTTTATATTTGATTTTATTTATTTATTTATTTTTCTTGTCTAAGGGAGGTCTGAGCTGCTGGGGTAATCTGTAGGGACCATTCCAAGACCCTATCGAACTAACTGTGGATTGATCCTTCTCCAAGGGGTTTCTTGCTAAATTGCTTTCCGCTTATGTCTGGCATGCCTACTGAAGCTGTCAGGGGGTAATTCACTATCGTTTAGCAGCTTCAGCAGGCATGCCAGACATCTTAGCTACTTAAGCTGAAAGCAATTTGGTGAGAAACCCCTTGGAGATGGAACGATCCTGTTAGATAAATCTAGGTATGGGAATGGGGTCTAAGGCTTCGTTCACATGCAATGTTACTTATAGTAACTGGCTCGCGCTGCCAGTAATTACGCCGCGGGATATTCAGGCCACAGACCGTGATCATAAGACAAACCGAAAATAGAAAATAGAATTTAGAAAATAGACATTGCATGTGAACGAAGCCTAAGTCTCCACCGATAAGGAAGACACTGTGCCTACCATCTGCCCTCCACCAGCTGCTGTTGTTGTAACAGATGTGATTTCCTTTGTTCTTGCATAAGCTCTGGCATCAAACTAATAACAAGTTTGAAGAACAAAGCTGTGGAAACAAAGCAAAAGTCACTAATAGAGTAGACTGTAATGCTGTTGTCCATTACCCACCCATTGTCCTGTTTAAAGACATGTCTAAAACGTGCCCCTCCCCCTCCACACTTAGAACCCCCCCCAATACAAACCACATAGGACTGATATTGAAACATTACCAAATCACTGACCAGGGTGTGTAAAGCAATTTGTTTCTGTTAGCCAGAAACTTGGGACATAAAATCACCAAACCATTGACATAAGCTTTCAATATTTAACAATTACTGGCACTTATAGTCTAAGTCAGTGATGTCGTGTCTCTCTCTCTCTCTCTTTTCTCCCAGCCTGTCCCATCTTCGAAAAACACAGGGTCAATCAAGTTTTAAAAAAAAATAATAATAATAGCAAGCATAAATGACAAAAATTAATATACTTCCAGGAAATCAAATAGAAA